TCAGCGTACCCCACCCATGGCATGTTCATTACAGTTGACAAGTTGTCATCCCTCAGGGCCCATCATTTATATTTGGGTTCACTCTTGGTGTCGTACATTCTCTGGATTTTGACAAATGTATAATGACGTGTATCCATCATTGTAACATCATACAGAGTAGTTTCACTGCCCTGAAAACCCTCTGTGGGGACTTCCCTGGCGGTCCAGTGGTTGACACTCCACACTTGCACTGCAGGGGGTGCAGGTTCGATCCTTGGTCCAGGAACTAAGATCCCATGTGCCGTGGAGCGCGGCCCAAAAAAAAAAAAAAACAAACAGAAAACAAAAACCCTCTGTGCTCTGCCTCTTCATCCCTGCCTCTTCCCCCCACCCCTTCCCTTGGCAACCACTGATATTTTTACTGTCTCCACAGTTTTGGTCTTTTCCAGAATGTCATATTGTTAGAATCGTACAGCATATAGCCTTTTCAGATTGGCTTCTTTCAGTTAGTAATATGCATTTAAGTTTCCCCCCTGTATTTTCATGGCTTGATAACTCACTTCTTTTTACCACTAAATAATCGTCCTTGTCTGGATGGACCAGTTTATCCATTTGCTCACTGAAGGTCATCTTGCTTGCTTCCAAGTTTTGGCAATTGTGAATTAAACTGCTATAAACATCCATTGCAGGTTTTTGTGTGGGCATAAGTTTTCAACTCATTTGGATATCAAAGAGTATGATTGCTGGATCTTATGGTAAGAGTATGTTTAGTTTTGTAAGAAACTGCTGAACTGTCTTCCAAAGTGGTGGCGCCATTTTGCACTCCCACCAGCAGTGATGAGGGTTCCTGTTGCTCCACAGCCTCGCCAGCATTTGGTGGTGTCAGTGGATTTTGGCCATTCTGATAGGTGTGTAGAAGTATCTTGTTGTCTTAATTAGCATTTTCCTGATGACATAGGATGTTGAACATCTTTTCATCTGTACATCTTCTTTGGTGAAGTGTCTGTTCAGATCGTTTGCCCATTTTTAAATTGGTTGTTTTCTTCTTGTTGAGTTTTGAGAGTTCTTTGTATAGTTTGGATAGCAGTTCTTTATCAGATATGTCTTTTGCAAATATTTTCTCCCAGCGTGTGGCTTGTCTTCTCATTCCCTTGACAGTGTCTTTCACAGAGCAAAAGGTTTTAATTTCAGTGAAGTCCAGCTTCTTAGCTCTTTCTTTCATGGATCATGCATTTAGTGTTGTATCCAAAAAGTCATCACGGAACCCAGGCTCATCTAGATTTTTTTCTATGTGATCTACAAATTTTATAGTTTTGCATTTTACATTTAGGTCTGTGAGCCATTTTGAGTTAATTTTTGTGAAGGGTACAAAACCTGTGTCTAGATTCTTCTGTTTTGCCTGTGGATGTCCAGTCATTTGTTGAAAAGACTATGAAAAGACTGTCTTTTCTCCAGTGTATTACCTTTGCTTCTTTCAAAGATTAGTTGAGCATATTTGTGTGGGTATATTTCTGGGCTCTCTACTCTGTTCTCTTGATCTATTTGTGTGTTTTTTCACTAGTACCACCCTGTCTTGGTAGTAATGGTACTTTTGTAGTAGCTTTACAGTAAGTCTTGAAGTTGGGGAGTGTCAGTCTTCTGACTTTCTTCTTCCCCTTCAATATTGTGTTGGCTAATCTGGGTCTTTTGCTCCTCCATATAAACTTGTCTGTTAATCAATACCCACAAAATAACTTGCTGGGATTTTGATTAGAATCGCACCAAATCTATAAGTCAAGTTGGAAAGAACTGACATCTTGACAAGATGGCATCTCCCCATCCATGAACATGGACTATCTCTCCATATATTTTTAAGTTTAAAGAAAAATAACATTTACCAGAGGCAATCTATGTCTTATCACTTCAAAATTAAAATGGCCTAAAAATCCTATATTTTTACTTCTGGACAATTTTCCCAGATAAATGTTTTACATACCAGTGATGGGGCACTAGCTCCTCAGTGTTCCTGGAGAGCCTTTCCTCCAGCAGCCCTGGTATAGATATCCAACAGTGCAGGGGCTCAGAGAGGGAGACAGAGCATTTAAACACAAGCTCTGCCTAATGGACTATTTGTCTCTTGTCAGTCCTCAACCCACGTTTTCTTCTTCCTCACATGCCTCAGGGCTGTAGCAGAATAAGATTTTCCTTGTTCCCTTCCTTTCATCTTAGTTGCTGGGAAAGGGTGGCAAGGTCAGATTATAGTCACTTTGAGGTCCAAACCTAGTTGAGATCTTTTTCCATGTTTTGTTCAGGCCACGTGAGGCTCTGGGCACTGGTGGCGGATGGAAATCACTTAAAGAGATGGCAGAGCTCAATTCCCATAACAGTGCACAGGATTCGAAATGGTGATAGCATTTTTGAAAACTGAGAAGTGACGATTTGTCTCTGTACCTTATTTCTCTTAACACGTGATTCTGTGATTTCTTCCTGTCATGTAGTTTCACTAGAGGTAATTAAGATTAAAAACTTAAAAGTCAGATCACAGTATTTTCTATCTGAAGCTCTCCACTTATGGAAGAATTTTACCCTTAGATCTGCACTAATCCTAGTCACACATGTTAGTTCTGTTTCGTGTATCACCTCTGGTGTCGGAAACGCTTAGTGAGATTTGCACAGTGATTTCTCAGGTGTACAGAGGCAAATCCATCAGCAGCAGTATGGTAAGCTGAGAACATTCTTGCAGCTCAACCCTTTGCACAGTTTCTAGCTGTGTCCTGCCGAGGCTCTGTCCATCCCTAAGACCCTCGTTTCCTCCCAACTGTTTCACTGCCTTCTCCTCCCCTTCTCCTTCCCCTTCTCCTTCTTCTCCCTCTTCTTCTTCTCCTTCTTCTTTTCTCCTTCTCTCTCTCTCTCATTCCCTCTCTCTCCCTCCCCATCTTTCTGCATCACGTTCATGAGATCTATATTTGAAAGAGTTAAAGATAGACTGGGTAGGGCTTCTATTCATATTATGCCCCAACTCCCTTACTCTCCCAGTCAATCCTAAATATCATCGGCTAAACCTAGGAAAACCTGAAAAATGGCACAGTGCTTACTATACTATGTATTATGTCCTTCTCTAAATGAGGAAAGAAAACCTTCGAAGGGAAAAGCAAGACAAGACAATCATGAAGTTTTAAGCTAAAAAAAAAAAAAAAGTACATAGACGAAGATGTCTATCTTGCCTGTTTTCACATTTTGAGTTCTAAAATTTAATAGCAACTTGTGATACATTCTATTAATTTCTAAAGGGAATAAATAAACTGTGTATATTCATACATATAACGCACGCATATGATATATATACAAGATATATATACATATATATAAGATATATATATCTTACTGCATTATAGAACCATTTAAAGTCAGATAAGGGGAATCAGGGGCCTCTAGACCAACCCTACTAAGTGGCAAAGTTAAGGTGAAACTTCTAGAGAAGCAAAAACGTTTATGCTGAACAACATCATTTAGAGGTGAGTGGAAAGCGTGCTCCTTAACGTAGATCTGGCACCACCGGACACTTTGAATCCTGGGACACCTGTATCATCCCAGGGCTTCCGTGCATCACGCTCTCCCTGGAGCTGCGGGAGAATCCAGGTGCCTTGGGAAATGGAATTGTTGATCCGGGGACACCATTTTTCTGAGTCATGAACCACACTTCCCCGGGCACCAGGGCTCTGAAGATTTCGCTGAGCTCACCATAGCACTGGTGATGTCTGGATCTGCGGAGAAGAAAACTTTCTTGGCACTTTATATGTTTTTGAAAATATTTTAAGGCTCGTGTCCTATTGATTTGATTAAAATTCACTCCTGAAACTTCATTTTCCAAGAAAACTTATCCTCTTTTCTGAATTTTGATGAGGTTTTCCTAGCAGGTCCACCTCATAGTTTATAAGGGCCTGTGATTCAGAGAATTACTTGGAATTAGGGTCATCTCACCACTCATGAGTAGGAAGGACCTGGAGAGAGAAGCTCTTTCTGTTCTGGGGACGATGCTTTTCTTTCCTCTGCACTAGCTTCCACGGCTCCTGCCCTCCCCCTGTGTGCCCCACCCCCATACCCAGGGGGATTTTGTAGTGAAAGGAGGGACGGGCGAAGGAGGAGAGAAAGGAGACTTTCTCCAGCCAGCATTCCAGCACCTCCCGGGCCCGGTGCTACGGTCAACCACTCTCCCGGCCACGCCCCTTCCTCTGCACTGGTCCTCGGCTCCGTCCTCGGCCTCCTTCCTGCCCATCCGCCTCCTTTCCTGGTCTCCCTCAAGTCACCCACCACCTCCAGCTTCTGCCTTTTAGGCCAAATGAGTGTCACCAACCGCTTAGAAATTGAAGAGGCACCTATCTCCAGAACCCCAATTAGAAGCATTTGAATGCCTTTTTTAGGTGGAACTGTTACTATGTATGTAGGTTATCTCTATAGCACAACCCAGTGTCAGATATTCTGTGACTTAAAAGTCACTTTTATGGGCTTGACCTGGTTGCCTAACTGCCCGTGTAACATAGTTGCTCTAGGAAAAAGCACGCGAGTTCCAGGAAGCCTTCTGATAGCACATCCTCCCCTAATCAGCTTTCCTTCCTTTATGATTGACCATGTTCCTCGTGAACTTAAGAGGGTAAGATTTTCTAGACCCACCGTGCTCTTTGTGAGTATAATGGATAGAGAGTCCTAGTCAACTGCGTTTAACTAGATAAGTAAAACAGAGCAACTTTAAAACCCTGTAAAATTCATGGCGGGAAGACAGTCTAGTTTTGTTTCTTTTTACAGAGTATCATTTTGATATTCCAGCGTTGCAAACAAATAAGTGAAAAACAAAGTTCTAACCTCCAGTTCCCGCGTTGGTGGAGGCGATCTCTAACCCAAGCCCAGCCTATTTCAGCGAGAACAGCTGGGACGTGTGGGGACGACGCACGGCTGCGCTCTGCCTGCTTCTCAGTTCACGGGGGGCTGCGCGCTAACGCTTCTGTCTCTGTGATTTGCTCTCCTGTTTTCTTCTGGGTAAACAGCGGGTCACAGAAAGTCGAGAGAGCCAGATGACGATTGAAGAGAGGAAGCAGCTCATCACCGTGAGAGAGGACGCCTGGAAGACCAGAGGCCGAGGGGCAGCCAACGACTCCACCCAGTTTACCGTGGCCGGCAGGATGGTGAAGCGAGGTCAGGATGCGTGTCCGCGCTCCGTCGCCCCCCCCACCCCCCCACCCCCGCCCACGGAGGGGACGTGGCCGGGGAGGGCTCAGTGTGAAAAATGAGGCCTTACCTTAGTCCGTTCTGGCTTTCACTCTCACTGAAATTGTGCACGCGTTTTCTGGGTAGGTTTTGTGAGATATTCCTACCAAAAGCCTTTTCCTACAGACTCCGTCATCTTCGACGTCAGACGCGTAATGCAATTAGTCACGTTTCAAAACAGCCATTTGGAGATGGAGCCCAGGTTTCAAAAGCGATTTTGCAACTCTGCTAACAAATCTTAGTCCTTTCCTGTCGTTGCTTTGAAATTATTTACATTTTCTTGCCATCTGGCAGTCAGTTCACCCAAATAAGCCTTTTTCTCAATGAAGGAGGAGTTTCTGTCTTCTCCCTTTTAGGGTAATTCCCAGGTCTCTTTCCATCAAGCCAGAGTTCCCTGGCTTCGGAAGCCCCGTTTCCAGCGATGTTTTAATAGCTGTCCAAAGGATGGATCCACTTCCACAGGGAAGTGAGAGTTCCCTACAGAGGGGCAGTTTCCCTGCAGCTGAGCTCTTGGAACTAATTTGCAGAGGGGAATCCAAAGATGTATGAAAGTGACGAATCACGTGGTTAGAAGTCACCAGAGAGCTGAGGGGCTCCACATCCTGTAGGAGACGGTTAAAATCTGGGGTCCTTGTTCACCTGCGTGCACGTACCTTCATTTTCTAAGCTGTGGCTTAAGCACATTTCTTAACTTAGTGATAAAGGTTTTCACGTTCAGGTAGAGTTAACTTCCATTGGCGTCTGCTTTCTCGGTTTGCAGTTGGCTTTCCTCAAAACCTTTCAGGATCCTCACTCAAAGACCATGCCTAGCTCATTGTAGGCTCATGATAAATATTTGCAGAAGGAAAGGAGGGAGGCAGGGAGGGAGAGAGAAAGGAAGGGAAGGAGGGAGGGAAAAGCCCCGAACTGAGATGAACCTAGATCTTGGTGGAAAAACCCTTTGTAACAAATTTATTAACTTTGCTTGGAATTGTCAAGGATAACAGAAGATAATTTACTCTCAGAATGAGGTGGCATTTGAATATGTTCTGTATACTTTACATGACCCCCATCCCCATGTTAACTAAAGCAGATTAAGGCCCACGTTGGTTAAGAAGAACTCGAGCTGAGAACTTGAACTGGAGCTCAGACCTGCCAGCTTCTAGCCCAGGCTTTTATCCTGATGACTTTTCACTTTGGTTTCCTCTTTCCTCTTCCATCTGAAGAGATGGTAATTTATTTGAAGTCGGGCCCTTACTACCAGATACCACTGCCCTTGTCCACAGGAATGTCAGAGGAAGTAGCTTTGCTCTTAGACAGGTTTAGAGAGTAAAGTCAGAGATGTTCCTCTCCCTTAGTGGCTGAGTTCACGTTCACGTGTTTCTGAATAAGTCAGGGATCTTGATTTAACGGGTGCGATGTGACTTTGCTCAGGAAATGATTTTCTTGTACTTTCAATCTAATGGAAATACTGTACCCTGTTTTTCTAATATTTGTTACCACCTACACAGCGATGTGTTTCACTCAGTCACCGCTCTTTCGGATTTGCAGTGATAGGGCGTCCAATGTCCTACACTCGCCAAAGAATTAGTAGTCCCCACGCTGTAGCCACCAAGGTTTCCCATCCCCTCGGGTTACTGTGTACCTGCGAGTTGCCAAGAGGCGTGCCGTACCCTGATTTTCATTCTCTCACCCCAGAGCACTCTCTTCTCCCCAGCCTCGCCAGGACTGTCTCCCTTTTTCTAATTCCTAGACGCTACATAACAGTGAGGACGCCACAGATTTCTGTGGTATTCTAGAATTCTCCTGGAAGGAAGGTACTTAAAGTGCACCTTTGAGTAAGAGAGATGTGAAATGTTCCTGAAGAGAGCAGGTGACTGGTTATTGCCTGTAGAATTCACTGAAAAGAGGTGTGGGGAATGCTTTGTTTTGTTTTAACATGGTGAAATTTAAATCTGTGTGCCCTCCCCCACTATGGCCGAACCCTAAATCTCTCCAGGAAGGAGCTGGTCCACCTCTGGGAGCTCCGCACTGCAGCCTGAACAGGCAGCAGGGCGCGCCGCGACAGCATGAGGGGCCGGTGTCCTGGTCGGCTCGAGTCAGGCCTGTTTGATTGGCTTCAGAGTTAGTGACCCTCTGTGCTCATGAAATCTTCCCGTGCCTCTTACGCACCCTCCTGGCAGGTCCCAGCCGGTGATACCAAAGTTTACTTATCCTTTGAGCATCTTTCAAGAAAGTTGACTTTCTCACGGATACAAACCCTTTGCAGTTCCGGTAAAGAAATAATTTTTTAAAATGTTGTTGACATCATTAAGGAAGTATACGTACATGTTGAGAAGTACTTCTGGAATATCACCTAAAATTTAAGTTGTAAACTGCATTTCAGTATTTTTCCTTAAAAATTTTATGCTGTAGCACATCCCGCTCCACCTCACGGGAGGGAGGGGCAGATCCGTTCACTTCAGTGATTCTCTTTCCCTGTAAGTGACAGTGATTTGCATATTCTCCCTTTGTGGTTCTCGGAGCGATACTTAACGTGGCAACGTCACCTAAGGGTTTCTCGTTTCTTACACACAGAGACAAAGAATATTAAGGTCTCATTTTGTTCTTTGTAACTAATTACTTCCCTTTCGAATCCCTCCTAAGGTTAGGGAAGAATACTCATCTTTGTCTTTATTAAGGTTTCTTATTCTAATCAGATGCCTTCTTCAGGCTGGAACGTCTGTCTTTCCCTCTCATGTGTCTTTTACCATTTCTCCGTTGAAAGATTCCCCATCCTGCTTCTTGGTAGACGCAGGTGGAAGCATGTCCCTAGCTCCCAGCCACACCTGACATGGGTACGATCCTCCAACAGTCACAGATCAGTACAGATGGTTCCTCTTGTGCCTTTCTTACAAAGCTTAGCACCCTCTGCACTATTGCCTAATAGGACCACACTCTGAGTGACGCCCCCAAAGGCCAGACTGTCCCCATGTCCTCTCAGCTGGGAGGGACACCGCGGGGCACTTCCCGGCCGGCGTGGCAGGCCCAGTCTCCCCCATCCTCTGCGGGGATGGTGCAGAAACAACTGACCGTCCGCATCCTCGCGTTCCGCAGCCACGAATTCAACCAACCGTGATCAAAAAACAATTTTAACTCCAGAGAATTCCCAAAAGCAGAACTGGAGTTTGCCACCTCGGCTCTTTGCACAGCATTTACGTTGTCTTAGGTATAATGAGGCATCCAGAGATGGTCTAGAGTATAGGGGAGGGTGTACGTAGACTGTATGCAAATCTGCCATTGTGTATAAGGGACTTGAGCATCCATGGATTTTGGTACCCACGGGCGTCCTGGAACCAATCCCTTGTGGATACCAAGGGACGACTGTATACTTGCTCTTCAGCTACCTCCACTGCCCCCAAAGCCTCCAGACGTCACCGTTTCATCTGTTCGAGGACATTCTGGTTGCCTTCGTGTCTTCGTGGTTCAGTGTGGAATGGCAGCCTGACAGCCGCTGCAGGCCTTAGAAGCAGTAAAACCCTGTCTCCATTGGCAGGTGTCCTGCACGTGTGGGCACGGTCCCTGCCAGATGCACATATGTGTGTCCCACGCGTGTGTGTAAATTCTGTCAATTGTTAGATCTCCATTGGGACTCGTGGCCATCCCTTAGGGTCCTGGGAACTTCCGGAAGTTTCCTCAGATGCTCAATAGCTCCTTTGTCTGCTCTGCAGGTCTGGCGTCCCCCACTGCCATCACCCCAGTAGCGTCCCCTATCTGCAGTAGAACGAGGGGCACCACGCCAGTTTCCAGACCCCTGGAAGGTGAGTCACCAGGCACCCAATGGGCCAAGAGGTCTGTTATCAGAAGAGCCCTCCGTGCTTCTCTCACCTGTGTTTTCTACTTGTCTAGATATCGAAGCCAGACCAGACATGCAATTAGAATCAGACCTCAAGTTGGACAGGCTGGAAACCTTTCTGAGAAGGCTGAATAACAAAGGTACACGCCAGGAGCCAGAGGGAAGCTTGGGTTCATGTGCTTGTGGCCAGTGTGACTCGGGTTTCAGTGGGTAGCTCAGGAAGCCTAGGAACACCTGCCCTGCTCTCAGAGTCTCTAAATCCCGGATTGCTTTTTCTCCTCAGCTAAATTGTCTTCTATTATGACGTCACCAGTTCATACTGTAAGCATTATCTTTGTTGTTAGGTTTTAAGAAATGAAGTTATTGGTCAACATTGATTAGATTACCAAACTCTGGTTCACTTGGTAATGAACTCGGTAGGGAGCCCCCAATAACACATTTGTTCCTGGATCTAAACCCTTGGGATGGACTTCCCTGTTGGCGCAGTGGTTAAGAATCCGCCTGCCAATGCAGGGGACACGGGTTTGAGCCCTGGTCCGGGAAGATCCCACGTGCCGCGGAGCGGCTGGGCCCGTGAGCCACAACTACTGAGCCTGCGCTCTACAGCCTGCGAGCCACTACTGAGCCCACACGGCACAACTACTGAAGCCTGCGTGCCTAGAGCCCATGCTCCCCAACAAGAGAAGCCACCTCAAAGAGAAGCCCGTGCACAGCAACGAAGAGTAGCCCCTGCTCGTTGCAACTAGAGAAAGCCCGCCCGTAGCAACGAAGACCCAACGCGGCCAAAAATAAAATCAATTAATAAATAAATTTATGAAAAAGAAGTAAATAAACCCTTGGGATGTCATCCAATCAGGATTGTAGACTCGGTAATTTTGCCTTTAACCCTGAAAGCAGATTATTACACGAAATCAACGTGAACTTGGGCCTGATAAACTTTCAGTCGTATATGTCAATTTCCAGTAAGGTAGCAGCTGCTATTATAATCACAAATGATTTCTAAAAGAAATTTCTAGTGAATAAATAAAGATTTCAATACAAAAAAGTGTAACATAACAACAAAGCTGGCAAGGCAAAGAATGCAAACGAGTCAGAGTTCATTACCTACAGGTAACGGTGATCTAGCCCGGGGGTCGGCAAACTAATCCAGCTCACCTCCTCTTTTTGTAAATAAAGTTTTATTGGAACACAGTCGTGCCCATTCCTTAGCATATTGGTAGTAGTTGCTTTTGTACTATAGCAGCAGGGTCATGTAAGGGGCAACACAGGTCAAATAGACTCCCGTGCAAAGCCTAAAATATTTACTACGTGACCCTTTGCAGGAAAAGTTTTCACCAAGCCCTGATCTAGAACGAGGCTGAGCTAGTTCTGCGTCCAAAAGAGCAAAAAGAGCAGGTTCAGAAATTCCCGGTGTGCTGGAGCCTCCATCCCTCCTAGCACTCACAGTGCACGCTCTGTTCAGACGGGAAGTCCTCTCCTGAGAAGCCAGCTGATACCCAGGAAGCATCTACAGAACCCTGGACAGCCCTGTCACGTTTGCTCCACTCCTGGACCTTAGCGGGAAGAAAATCATTTTTAAGATTCAGTGAAGCATAGTTGGAGTCATGTTTTTACACAAATCTCAGGTCATTGATTTGCTTGTTTGTCGGTAGTTGGTGGGATGCAAGAAACGGTCCTCACCGTCACCGGGAAATCCGTGAAAGAGGTGATGAAGCCGGACGATGAGGAAACCTTTGCCAAGTTCTACCGCAGCATGGATTCTGCTCTACCGAGAAGCCCCGTGGAGCTGGACGAGGACTTTGATGTCATTTTCGACCCTTATGCCCCCAAGTGAGTTATTTCGTTTCCCATCTTTCACCCCTGGAGCACGGATTCCTTCACTGGTCTCCACACAGCACTTCCTCGAGAATCTTCTCTCACTGTTACCTCCTTCTGCGATAGAACTTCATTACAGCCAGCCTGATACCAACCAGGGTTCTTGGCCTCCCCCAGTCAATAGAAATTGATAAGAGGCCAGACAAGAAATTCAGGCAGGGCTTTATTGGGACCCCTGCTGCAGCAGGGGCGAGAGAGAACAAGTAACAGGTTCCCTTGCTCGCTCCCCGAGGGGGGTGAGCTGCTTCCTTATATGGGGAGAGGGCAGGGGCGGGTCCAGGGGTCGGGCTGGAGGCGTGGCTTAGGTGGCTTGCCCACCCCTTCGGTGGTGGTGTGCGTATAGGGCATGGGCAGTGCCCTGCTTTGGCTCCTGGTACCCTGTTTTTGCTCTCTGCTCTTCAGAAGCAGCAGTTGGGTTTTTTGGTCTTTCTGTATCCTTTGTCCATAATTTGGCCCAATTGCACATGCACAGTTATTTTTAGTCCCTTATCGTTTTTTGTATTTTGTTGCTTGAGGAGAGGCGTGTGTCCAGGTGCAAGCCCTGCAGCAAAGGGTCTCAGGTCCCAGGTCCCAGCCCGTCTCAAAATCACTATTCTCTAGAACCAGACACTGGGCTAGATAGAGCTTGCGTACCCAGGACAGACGTTCCCTCCGGCAGAAAGCCTTGCATCCCCACCACATGCCTGGTCCATAAAAATAAAGTGACTGTGTTTATCACGTCACTCAAATATTGTTTTGCAGACTTTATGAACACTGGTTAGCAGAAATTTCTATGCCTTTCTTCATTTGACATGTCAAATTCTTACTCAACTTTGCAAACTGTTTGGATCACCTGGGCTTTAATGAATACAGCTAACTGGAAAATCAATGAAACGTGTTACTTAATTTGCAATCATTGATAAGATCAATAGATCTGAGGGTTTTCTCAGTGATGTCCCAGGGTCCCTCTTCATGCAGGAACGTGACTAAACCACCAAAGAGTGTTCCTGGTGTTAGGATTCCCTTGGTTGTGACTGCCACAAAGAAAGCCAAGTCCAGCTGGCTTCAGCAGAAGAGAGGCGTGGAGGGAGTTACAGGTTCACCCCTTGAAAAGCGCAGGCATGAACTCAGGTTCCGGGGGCTCAGAATGAGGTCTCTCGCACCTGGTTCCTTTAGGCTGGCTTTCCTCTCAGTCAGGCTGTCACCACGTGGTAGATGGTCACCCCTCACTCCGGATTTATATCCCATCTCCTTGGCCACCGCCAGCACAGGCAGCTGACCTGCCCAGCCTTCCCAGAAGAAGTTCCAGGCTTGATTTTCTTGGGTTTGCATCCAGCCCTACAGCCATCATTGTGGCCAAGGGGATGGAAGATGCTGATTGGCCAGCAGTGGGTGGTCTTTGGATCCCCCTCCGGAGCCAGGGTAGGGGACAGGGCATGGAGGGAGATGGTTCCCCCAAAGGAAAGTCAAGGAGCTCTTACGAGAAGCAGGGAGAGTGTGCTGGGTGAGCTAATAACCCCACGGCCATCCACCACGTGTATCTGTTGCCCACAAATTTTTCAGAGTGCCCGTCTCTTCCGGAAGTCTGCGTGGTTATCGTAAATGTTTCCTTAAGCTGCTCCTGATACCTGTTTTGCAGTTTTCAATGTGTTCAGTTTTTTTCAATTTGCTACCTTAAGAAAATGAACAATTTGCCATTCCCCACCTTGAAGTAATATTTTGGGTATTTGCATACATTGGTAGTGAACCATTGCTCAGTCTTCTCCTCACCCAAATATTGTTTACATGGTTACATGTAATTCAAACATTGATATGTATGTTCACACACACACACACACACACACACACACAAACACACACACACACGACAATGTTCTGTATGAAAGAGGACCTCCAGGTACAGAGATCCATGCACTTAAGACATTAAAAGCAGCTGGAATCTGCTGGGAAACCATGTGACTGGGTCCACCCCTCTCCCGGTGTCTGGTCTTCTGCCCCAGAGAGCTGAGTGTGCGTGTGTGAGGGTCATAGTTGGTTTTGTGGGCCTCTTTTATTTCAATATATTTTTCAAAATAATGCTTATTTTCCAGAGGGGGCAGTGGGTCGAGAGGAGGCTCAGTGATGGGGAACTTGGGGAGGGAACTGGGAAACTTGCATGGAGAGGAAGCTGAGTCTGGTGGAGAGAGGGTTAAATCAGGAAGCGGTGGCTGGCTGTCCATCCGCGGAGGGCTTACTGGAGCCCAAAGGAGGAGAGGTGGTCCTATTCCGGCAGGAGAAGTAGTGATCAGCGTGTTGTGGGTGCGGTGAGAGGGAAGGACCGCACCCTTCAGGGCTGTCCAGGAGGGGGATGGGCTGCCCCAGAGGCACTGGCCGCTCCTCCAGCTGGAGACCACGGGGCGTGGTAAGAGCGGGGCTCCAGGCGTGGGCTGGCATGTGGAACTAAATGGGCTTCAGTCTCCCACCTCCGAGATCCTCAGTGGAGGGGTGATGGGAGGGGAGGAACTGTACTATTATAACGAAGTCAAGAACTAAAATCGCGGCACCCACTGCTTCAGCTCAGACACACGCAAGCCACCAGGCGTGGGTGACACTGCAGCCCCAGGCCACACCAGCTCTGCTCTGCCTCTTAGGTTGACATCCTCTGTGGCTGAGCACAAGCGTGCAGTGAGGCCCAAGCGCCGGGTTCAGGCTTCCAAAAACCCCCTGAAGATGCTGGCGGCAAGGGAAGATCTCCTCCAGGGGTACACGGAGCAGAGACTGAACGTGGCCTTCGTGGAATCAAAGCGTATGAAAGTCGAAAAGAGTGAGTATCAGGGCCATCCCCAGCTGTGCGCTCGGGAACCGGGGAGCAGGTGACTCTGTCCTCTCCTTTCCCTGCCTCGCAAAGGCCAATGACAGCGCCCAGAGACTCTCATGCAAGAAAAATGAGCAAGTCTGTACACACACGTGCACACCTGCAGAAACTGCTTGGAACAGAAAGGCTTGCAGTGTGGCCCATCTATTCACAGACATCAAATTATCCTGTTTTGTCGAGTTTGCTTTCAAGAGGTTGGAGGAAAGGGAGGTTGCTGGGCTTTGCAATTCAACCCATTTCCAAACACAGCAATTCTTCACTTGATCTTATTCTAGAGCAAATGATTCGCTCTCTCATGGGCAAGTGTCCCAAATCTCTGTTTCTGCATTATTAATTAATGCAGAAACCGGTGCTCTTCACATTGTTTTGGGCAGGACCCTCGGGCTCCTTGGAGCTGGGATGTGGGCTGTGGGGGAGTCGGGAGAGTGGGATGGGGCAGTGAATGGAGCGTGGGAGCAGGCCCGAGGTTTTCATCCCACTTCAGGCTAAACCTTCGGCTTTTATCTGCCTGGTCCTGTGGGGCTCCCCGGTTCTCAGACTGGTTTTCCCAGCGGAGCTAATGGCATGCATAATCTTGTTATTCGGAAGATTCTTGCTGTCATTTTTATTTTCCTATAGTGCTCATAAACCTACTTACTAAAGTTTATTTTTAGAAATAGTCTTTGGATGAAGTGGTTGAGTCTTTCCATTATAACTGGTTTACTAAATAAGATATTACGAAATCTCTATGCCATACGAGTTGTCAGGTAGTGTTATATTTCTTCAGTGTTCGAACCTCATCCCAGCAAAATAATTTTCTGAGTTTCTCTCTAGCATATGCATAGTTCTTTAAACAATGAGCTGGAGAAATAGAGGTTTCTTGGCACAAGTTTTATGTACTTTAACTGTATCTCCACTTTTTGGGGACACATGTACATTTGTTGGTCCACACTGAAAATCCAGCATCTTGTTACAATCTTAAATCTGAGAGCAGGTGATCTCAAGAGATCATGTAGTTGTTCACTTAGCCTCCAGAGAAAGATGAGAACTAAACCATGCCTACAAGGTGCCTGCTTTTCTGCATATAAAGACTTTGGATGGAAGATGTCTAACAGTCTCCCTTAGGAATGCGTTTTCAGCATCTAACACCGTGAGGAACGATAACAGCTTTAGTGGAACTGCAGCGCGAGTCCAGCTCCTGATTTTATACTGATGTGGCTGGTCCACAGGGCCACTCAGTTCTTGTCTCTCTGCATGGCCAGGGTGACACTCTCCAGCAAGCATTTACACTTTCAATCCTATGTTTAATTCCTAACACAAGCTTCACTGCATAGTTAATCAGACTGGAGTATGCTTTCCCCATCAGGATTAACTTGAAAGGAAAACAGGAGTGAGTCACTTATGCACGATCGCTGGGTGTAAACACCGTCATTTCTCCTGAATGTCTTGCTTCCCCTGCACTGTGTTTCCTCCTTTGACCCTCCCAGTGTCCGCCAGCTCCAACTTCTCAGAAGTCACCCTGGCGGGATTAGCCAGCAAAGAAAACTTCAGCAACGTCAGCCTGCGGAGCGTCAACCTGACGGAACAGAATTCCAACAACAGCGCGGTGCCCTACAAAAAGCTGATGCTGTTACAGATTAAAGGTATTTAGAGCGGCAGAGAGAATGACACACGACCAGGGATTTTAGTCTGGTAACATCGGGAGGCCTGACTTCCCCCTACTTGCCCGAAGGAGAAGGGAACGCATGCTTTTGGAGAGCCCACCGGGTGCCACCTCATCTCACATCAACGTTACAGAATCCCACTAGGTGGGAAATATTACGCCCGCGTGGTAGCGCTTCCCGATGCGCCCGAGGCCCCAGCAGCGGCTGAGCAGCAGGGCTGGCTTTGAACCCTGGTCTGTCTGATTCCAGAACCTCAGCTTCTGCTGCTGCTCCGCTTCCCGTGGCCCCGGCCGCACACTGCATGGGGTCACCAGGCACCCCCTCCGCCCCTCTCTCTTTCTCTCTTTCTCTCTTTCTCTCTTTCTCAACCTCTTTTGCTTTCTTCCTCCCTGTCTTCCTTCCTCCCTTTCCTTCCTTCTTTCTCTCTCTCTTCCCTCCCTCCCTCCCTGTCTCTCTCCCTCTCTCTCTCTTCCTCTATCTCTTTTCCTTTCTTCCTTCCCTCCCTCTCTCCCTGTAGCAAGGAGCCCTAACCCACAACCAGGGGGGCTCTGGCTCTGCCCCAGTGACTTAGCTGCCTCGGGCGGCACTGCTGTAAATTAATGCTCAAGAAAAGCATGACCTGTCCTCTGCTTCGCTGGGGGTTGGCAGGGTGTATCTGCGTGGCCACTGTCCTTTCTAGTGTATTTAAAAGACCCGTGAAAAGTGCACACCACCCGCCTCTGTTCCTACGTTGTGGCGCAGAGACTACACCATCAGTGTGATTGTGGAAAGATTGAAACCGTTTAGGAGGAGTTGGAACCTGCACAAGGCAGTGCTTCCCTCTGAGCTGAGTCCTCTCCAGACTCAAAGTTTTCGGTTTAGAGAAGAACTCCCAAGGATGCAGAGGCTCTCTGAAGGCCCTCGCCTTGCCCCGGCCCGCAGAGGCTGTTAAGTGTAGGAGGTGGGCTGAGTGGAGAGAGATCAGGAGATGAGTGGGGGAGGGGAAAGGAGGTGTTTGCTGGTGTCCCTGGGGGAGGGAACCTTAATTAATCTATTCACGTTCTGTCAAGGGACACTGCTAATGGTCCTGGGAAACATGGTGACCTCTGGGAACCTGCCACCAGGGAAGGTCATCGACGAGGCTATGCCTCTAAGTGCCCTGGGTCATGGGAACTCACGTGAACAGATGAGGCTGTTCAGGATGGGAAGTCGGGGGCGGGGATGCTTCGGACGCGGGGTGCTTCCGGGTCGGCCCTGCCGGGGCTGCGGGACAGTGCTCGTCTCGGGGGAGACGGTGACCCTGTGCCTCGTGCTCAGGAAGAAGACACGTGCAGACGCGGCTGGTGGAACCTCGCGCTTCTTCCCTCAACAGCGGGGACTGCTTCCTCGTGCTGTCCCCCCACCACTGCTTCCTGTGGGTCGGAGAGTTTGCCAACGTCATAGAGAAGGCGAAGGTCGGTATCTGAGGAACGAAAGTGGTCTCGTTTTGCATCTCCTTTAGACACAGGTAGAATGTTCTTCCAGTGGCCAGATCCCCAGAAAGCTGCTTAAACGTCCAGTGTTTCATTCAGGCGAGAGGGGACAGGCGTGTTTATCGTCCAGAAGGTCTCTGAAACGAGCTCCTAGTAAGTGCTTAAGGGGGATGTTTTAAAAGGAGTCTGACCTGTGCCTCCAGGTTGGAAGTTCTGCTTCATCCTTCCTTCTGTGGAGAAAAAGAACTGGCCCATCACTTCCAAGTTGTTTATCCTAGGTGTCTAGGAAGTCCTGCTGTGGATCTATTGAATGAGTCTATTGAATGAGACTTTAGTGGGAGAAGACCAGGGAGTGGGTATTTTTATTTGGGGTTTTCTTTCCCCTTTATTTATTTATTTTTAATTGAAGTCGAGTTGATTTACAGTGTTGTGTTAATTTCTGCTGTACAGCAAGGTGATTCAGTTATACATATATATACTCTTCCATCTTCTTTTCCATGACGGTTTATCACAGGCTGTTGAATGTAGTTCCCTGTGCTCTACAGTAGGACCTTGTTTTTTATCCATCCTCTATATGATGGTTTGCATCTGCTTATCCCACACTCCTACTCCATCCCTCCCCCACCCGCCCCCTCGCCCTTGGCAACCACAAGTCTGTGCTCTATGTCTGTGAGTTAATTTCTGTTTTGTAGAGAGGTTCATTTGTGTCATAGTTTAGATTCCACATGTAAGTGATATCATATGGTATTTGTCTTTCTCTTTCTGACTTACTTCACTTAGTATAATCATCTCTAGTTGAATCCATGTTGCTGCAAATGGCATGGTTTTGTTCTTTTATGTGGCTGAGTAATGGGATGGGTATTCTTAAAATCTTCATGAATGATCTTTTGAATTTGAAGATGGACAGGTGTTGCTGTAAAGAATGGATGCCCCCAGTCCTTTCGTTCCATTTTCTTGACTTTTAGACAGTCCCCAGCCGCCAGTGCCCTCGGACCCTGTGGTCACAAGGTTTTCCTTCCAGACACGCTGCCTCTCTGCTCTGACTTCAGCGTTGCCCCTCCCTCTGACCGTGGGCTTGTCTGCGCAGGTAACTGCGTCCCTCTCTCTTTTTAGGCCTCAGAACTCGCAAGTTTAATTCAGACCAAGAGGGAACTTGGTTGTAGAGCTACGTATATCCAAACTATCGAAGAAGGAATTAACACACACACTCATGCAGCCAAAGACTTCTGGAAGCTTCTGGGCGGCCAAACCAGTTACCAGTGTAAGCGTTTACTGCATCTCAGAGAATGAGACTTGCCTACCTTTCCTCCTCGCCTGCTTCCTTCTCCCAAACCAGCCTCCCTCCAGTGGGAAACATAATGTCCTCTTCCCGTTCTTACCCCAAAGCTGCTGGAGACCCAAAGGAAGATGAGCTCTATGAAACGGCCATAATAGAAACCAACTGCATTTACCGACTAATGGATGACAAACTCGTTCCTGATGACGACTACTGGGGGAAGATTCCAAAGTGCTCCCTTCTGCAGGCAAGAGAGGTACAGTGAGTGGTCTGCCCTTCGGCAGGAAAGCCCTTGGCCCCGGGCTGCCCGCTAAAACAGGCAGTAAGTACCGACAGACGCTAGCCAGGGATGGTACTCGCTGCACACCAGACATCTTTTTATTTTTATTAACTTGTATCTTACATTGGAGTCTAGTTGATTCACAGTGTTTTTTTAGTTCCCGGTGTACAGCAGAGTGATTCCGTTATACACATACATGTATCCTTTTTCACATTCTTCTCCCGTTTAGGTTATTACAGAATATTGACCAGAGTTCCCTGGGCTATACAGTAGGTCCTTGTTGGCTGTCTGTTTGAAATGTAGTAGTGTGTACATGCAGAGACATCTTTTTAAAGGCTACCTACCAATCTGTGATTTCAAACCGTTACTGCCATCTTAGATGCTGATACCGAATTCCGAATGTTGTTCAGAGGAGGATGGGTCATTGAAGGCTTTTCTGTTTTAGGCCAGATGGAAATACGACTTAGTCCCGTCTCTTGATTTTTGTATAAACATTAAGTATCTTTCAGTCCTTAGGTTTCAGGAGACATAGGTGTACCTATAGTGTGTGCGTTTGCCAAGTAATGTGCTCATTTTTCCTCTCACACCAGCACATATTTATTTTTACAAAATTACATATATTTCCAGCACCACTAAGTGTTTTTTTTTTTTTTTTTTTGTCTGCACCACTCAGCTTGCGGGGATCTTAGTTCCCCGACCGGGGATCAAACCCGAGCCCCTGGCAGTGGAAGCTGGAGTCCTAACTACTGGACCGCCAGGGAAGTCCCACCACTAAGTATTCTGAGTGTTGAGAAAAAAACGGGAAGACGCAAAAGGACTTTAAATTTCGTTGGGTAGAAGGCTAGCAGAAAGGATGTAATCCAAAGATAGACTGATTGTATGACAAATTTAAACGGAGAAAAAATGTCACAGAAAAAGAAATAATCAGGAATGATTTTAAAGAGAAGGTGAAATTGAGCCTAGTTTGCAGTTAAGTAGAATTGGGATCGCTGGAAATGAAGAAAGAAATTATTCTAGGAAGAAAGCGTAGAACAAACCAACAGGTATGTAAATAAGAGCACTGAGTTCATGTATTCATTCACCAAACACTTAGTGAGCCCGACGGTAAATACGTTAATGAGTACAGTATGTTCTTTGCCCTTGAGGGCCCTAGAATTGTATAGGGGAGAAAAGACATCACTGGGTCCTCAGTGCCATGTGAAGCGACCCTTATGAGCTAAGTGCGTGAATGACAAAGGAGGAAAGGCGGAAGGAAGGGCGGGGCCAGGGAGGAAGACCTGCTTAAATAGCTGTTAGGAATCAGAAGTGTTGGGCAGCCCATGTGTTTGGAGGAGGGGTGTTAACCTGGGCATTTAGGACCACAAGACAGAAGTCATCCCCACAGGGCAGAGGCTGGCTTGGCTGTGCTTGTACTGAATGCTTCGTTAGTATTTGAATCATCACCTGTTGGACTCACGGTCACTAGAGACCCTGGTTCAACGAGAACATGCCCTTGAAGTGAACACGTTCTTCCGTGCCATTTCCCCAGGTCCTGGTGTTTGATTTTGGGAGCGAAGTTTACGTGTGGCACGGGAAAGAAGTCACATTAGCGCAACGGAAGATAGCCTTTCAGCTGGCAAAGCACTTATGGAACGGAACCTTTGACTACGAGAACTGTGACATCAACCCCCTGGACCCTGGAGAGTGCAACCCGCTCATTCCCAGGTACCGCTGGGGCCCTGGGCAGCCGAGGCTCCCACCGCAGTGTTCAGCCTTCACCCTTCAGGGGTTTTAGTTTTCATAAGTGATTGCAGGGCAGTACCACAAGTATTCACAACGAGAACAGTGCTTTCGCTTCTCCCTAAGAGATACAGAAATGTGGACGGTGTGGTCGTCTGGAAGGTGCTCCTGTTATATTTCAGTTCTTGAAGGAGACAAATCGATGGTACCTGCAGTATTCAGGTGCTGCTGTCACGTATAATCTGTTGTTTAAACCAATGACTTGCTGACCTGAAAAGCTTGCCAGGCCCTGGAATTCAGCCGTGGGTCTGAAGGTGCAAAAGCAACGCGTCTCTTTCTGAGTTCACACCTTCCAGCCCAGCCCTTGAATTCCATTTAGCTGGCAGTAGGTGATGCCTTTTGGGGGGAGGGAGGATGCGGTATTGAAATAATGGCTGTAATTATAGTATTTCTGACAGTCTACTGGACTTTTAAAAGTCATTTTGGCAAATCAGCCGAAGGTGCACGAAACTCTCAGAAATACGGTCATGAAAACAGGAATTCTTACATGCAAAGGACCATTGTTTATCTCTTAACTACCAGGAAGAAAGAGAAGTGCGTTTAAACCGTGCATATGCCACGTAATGGGTCAGAAATTGCACATCAAAACTGCTTTGTGATGTTTCCAGTTGAACTGACACACAGATTTCAACCTTCCTACCTAGTTTCCTATTTTAAAATACAATTATTGATTTTATTATTCATTGTCATTATAGAAACAATTCAAAGGGATGTCAGTGTAGGTGAAAAGGTTTCAAATCCTTTTCAAGCGAGTGCACATTTAACATAAAATTAGTACTGAAACAACTAGTTTTGTAAGGCCTAAAGCTAAGACTAAAAAGAATGTTCTAGTTGGTATAGTAAAAAAAAACATACTGAAGCATAAAATCTGTGTGATGGACGATTTATATTTAGTCGTGACATCATCCGAGATCTGAAGGTAGATGAGTGGGCACCTAACCCACTGGCTCTCAACATCTCCCAGATCAGAAGCACCGGGGAAGCTTTAAAACAAAAAAATGCATGTGCCGGTCCTGGCCCAGGAGCTGTGTTTTCAGTTGGGGTGGGGTGGGGTTTGTGTGTCAGTACGTCTTAAAAGCTCCCCCAGGGATTTGAAGGTACAGCCAAGGTAGAGCGCCCCGCCCTTCTTCACCGAGGAGTCATGACTTAGCCCAGCTCAGACCTGCAAGTCAGGACGGAGGTGGAGAGCATCCAGCTTCACACCCTCCTGCTGCAGACCTGCCCTCTGTGCTCCCTGACCTCACACATCCAAGATGCATTGCTAAGCTGAGACCAAGTGTCTTTCCATAGGCACCTTAGCAAGTCTGCCGAGTGGAATTTATACAAAAGACAGTCACTCAGCTATTTTCTGATAAGGACCACAGCCTTCAGGGTAGCCCTGAATTTTCCACAGTTGCTGGTATTTGGTTCCTAAGTCCCGGGAGCCTTGGCAGTGGAAGTATTTGCACACAGTGCCTTTTATCCTTTCAGTCCCCTTTGAAACGGGCAGCCCCCCTTGATGTGCCTTAGCCATGATGCCAGAAACTGTGGTCTGGACCAGACAGGACGTGACGAAGCACGTCAGGGGCCACTGCAGGGCCCAGGAAGCACTGCCCCTCGGTCTGATGGCCCCAATCCACAAGCCAGGGTTGGTCTGGAAGGATGGGAAATACCCGCACCTTAACCTCAGGGCTCACCCCCTTCGGCACGTCTCTTCTTGGCTCTGCGCATTTCTAAGCGAGCTGTGTTCCGAGCTCAGCGTCAGACTCTGAGATCCCGAAGCGGTTCGGACCTCCCGACTGGGCTACGCTGCTTCCTCCCCCGTCCTTGTGCTCTGCCTGCCCGCTGCCCCGTCCAGTGGCCTAGAGATCAACATGCACACATTCACTTTATGATTCACGAGAGTGTGTTCACTTGGGGAACAGAGGAGAATTTCCTGTTCCTGGAGACTGGACATCTCCATTGTAACGTGACTTACAAAAAGACAGGATCAGGGTGAGCATACATTCCTCCACCTGTTCACTACCCTGACGGAAACGCGGCGCGCCCCCGGGGTGAGCACGGGTGGCGTAAAGGAGGCGAGGAAGCCACGCGTGTGACCCCTGCCTGTGCTGAGCTCCCGGCCGAGCGTGCTGCCCCCCAGGGGACCCCAACACGAGAATTTGCTGGAACGCCAGGCAGGTCCAGTCCTGCCGTGGGTCACATCACATTCAGGCACGTCAGCTCCAAGGACACAAAGCCCTGCAAGGCTTTGGGCTAAAATAGCAAAACGCCACTGATTGGGTCACATAAGTGAAAGCGAACCGTTCACCTGTCTACTGCCTACGTATTCTGCGTTCCTCTCACTCGCCACGTGTGTGGGTTTTGGACTTCTCGGGCTCGGCAGGACTTGTCTGATCTTGGTTCTTTTCCCATCCCCTCCCTTCCCCGACCCACCCGACAGAAAAGGACAGGGGCGGCCTGACTGGGCGATATTTGGGAGACTTACAGAGCACAACGAGACGATTTTGTTCAAAGAGAAATTTCTCGACTGGACGGAAATGAAGAGACCTAACGAGAAGAACGCCAGCGAACTTGCCCAGCACAAGGTATGTGGGACGATCAAGCCCCAACCTCAGGGCTTGGTCTGGGTCCCGGCAGAGGGGCCTTCATGCTAAAAGCCTTCCTGGGGTTTTCCTAGGACAGCAAACCGGCCTCCAGTCACGTTCTGACTTCACGAGGTGAAAGCAGCCGTGTTTGCGGCTCCGGGTTTATCGGCGGCCCGTTCACAGTCGTGGCTGTCTGTCCCCTAAACGCAGCCTTTCTTTAAGTGCCCCGAAGCAGCCTGAGCGCTGTACTTGAGGCCGTCCCACCGCCGGCGCAGCAGTGTGGAGTGCGACGGGCTGCCGCCGAGCATCTCTGCGTTCTCTCCTAGGACGACCCGCGGGCAGAGATCAAGCCTTACGACGTGACGCGGATGGTGCCGGTGCCCCAGACGACAGCCGGCACCGTGCTAGACGGGGTCAACGTGGGCCGGGGCTACGGCCTGGTGCAAGGGGACGACCGCGGGCAGTTGGAGGTCGCCAGCCTGTCGGTGGACGTCTGGCACATCCTGGAATTCGACTACAGCAGGCTCCCCAAGCAGAGCATTGGGCAGTTCCACGAGGGCGACGCCTACGTGGTCAAGTGGAAGTTCATCGTGAGCACGGCAGGTGAGTGAGCCACTCGCGTGTCCCTCGAGCCCCGCCGCGGGGATCGTGGCTGCCGGATACGGAGCGCGTGCCGTGTCTGCCCCAGCCGCGGGCGAAGGACCGGTCGAGGCCTATTCCCTTTGAGAACCTCCTCGTAAACCTCGTGGATAGATTCCTAACACCCCACCGTGGCCGGCAGCTGTGACGTCTCCCTCTAGAAAGCCGACTGGCGTGGTAAGGTTCCTCTGCCGCCCTCGCCCCTCCCCTGCCCCGTCCCCAGAGGCTTCCTAGGAAAGCGATGATCTGTCCCCACATGACGGTCACCATGTGGCTGGATGCTGCCGCAATGAAAGCCATTAAGTAACACAGAGCCGACGCGTCAGTGCGGAAACAAAAGGGTGCCATGACGTCACAGTAAATCCACGCCCAGAAGACGTAGTCAGAATGAAAGGCGCATTTCCTCTGAGGCCGAGAGCGCTGACCGTGCTCTGTGGGTCTGGAGGAATAAAGACACGGTCAGAACTACTCGTGGTTCCCACGAGTGCTGTGCTCCTCGTGGCGAAACAACACACTCCGCGCTGTGCTCTGCGCTAGAGGCAGCGAGGGCGGACAGCAGCAGATTTGGGAGAAATAATCCCTTTTTCCTGCCAAGAAGAAAGCACGAATCAGGCCGTGCACAGTGTCCCGCAGCCCGGCGCATTTAGGAGACAGTTTATGACACAACTCGGTGGCCCCGAGATTCACTTGCCAAGGGAGTTCGTTCACCTCTTTCCAGCCCCGTTGCCGTCTGGGTGTGGCTGCCCCGCCGGGCACAGGGCGGAGGCCACGGTTAGCTGATCAAACACCTGCAGGCTTAGAGCCATTTGGTTTCTTTCCTAATGTATCTCTGTGGGTAAGACACCTTTTAAAATTTATCTTATTGAAACATAGTTGATTTACAATGTGGTGTTAATTTCTGCTGCACAGCAACGTGACTCAGTTTTATATATATATATATATATATATATATATATATGCTTTGTCATTGGATATTGAATAGAGTTCCCTGTGCTCTGCAGTAGGACCTTGTTGTTTATCCATCCTATAGACACTAGTTTGCATCTGCTCACCCCACCTCCCAGTCCGTCCCTCACCCCCCTGGCAACCACAAGTCTGTTCTCTATGTCTGTGAGTCTGTTTCCATTTCGTAGATAGGTTCATCTGTGTCGTATTTTAGATTCTACCTATAAGTGATATCATATGGTATTTGTTTTTCTCTGTCTGACTTACTTCAGTTAGTTTGGTAATCTCTAGGTCCATCCATGTTGCTGCAAATGGCATGATTTTGTTCTTTTTTATGATTGAGTAGTATTCCATTGTGTGTATGTGTATGTATGTGTGTGTATATGTGTGTGTGTGTGTGTATATATATATATGTATATATATACACACACACATATATATATATATACACACACACATACATACACACCACATCTTCTTGATCCATTCATCTATCAATGGACATTTAGGGTGCTTCCATGTCTTGGCTGTTGTGAATAGTGCTACTATGAACATTGGGGTGCAGGTATCTTTTTGAATTATAGTTTTGTCCAGGTATATTCCCAGTAGTGGGATTGCTGGATCATATGGTAATTCTATTTTTAGGTTTTTAAGGAACCTCCATCCTGTTCTCCATAGTGGCTGTATCAATTTACATTCCCACCAGCAGTGTAGAAGGATTCCCTTTTCTCCACACCCTCTCCAGCATCTGTTACTTGTAGAGGTTTTAATGATGGCCATTCTGACCAGTGTGAACTGGTACCTCATTGTGGTTTTGATTTGCATTTCTCTAATAATTAGCCATGTTGAGCATCTTTTCATGTGCCTGTTGACCATCTGTATGTCTTCTTTGGGGAAATGTCTATTTAGGTCTTCTGCCCATTTTTCAATTGGGTTGCTTATTTTTTGTTGTTGTTGAGTTGTATGAGCTCTTTGTATATTTTGGAAATTAAGCCCTCATCAGTCACATCGTTTGCAAATATTTCCTCCCAGTCCATAGCTCTCTTTTCATTTTGTTGATGGTTTCCTTTGCTGCACAAAAGCTTGTAAGTCTGATTAGGTCCCATTTGTTTATTTTTGCTTTTATTTCTATTGCCTTGGGAGACTGACCTAAGAAAACATTGGTACGATTTATGCCAGAAAATGTTTTGCCTGTGTTCTCTTCTAGGAGTTTTATGGTGTCATGTCTTATGTTTAAGGAATAAGACCCTTCTTTTGGGTGTCAGTAAATATTCCTGGCCCTGCCTTCCAGAAGCATGTGGTATAAATGACGGGGGGTGGCGGTGGGCAAGTATGGAAGAGGTGCTTGCCTCCTGCTGGGGTAGGAGAGCTCCGTTCCCTGAATAGGACCTGGCGGCTGTGGGAAAGCCCAGCGGCCAATGGGCAGGCATCGGAGGTGGGGAGACGGACCGCAGGCCGAGAGGCACCGCTCTGGGCTTCACCACCCGCACTAGGTGAGTGCCTCACGGAGGCTCCGCGGGATGTGTTCTGTCCTTTCGCTAACTTCTCAGAAGAGAAACAGGACACCAAGATTAAGGAACGCCCCCTGCAGTCACACGGCTAGGAGAGAACAGGGCTGGACACTAAAAGCCCCTTTTTTTACCCAAGGAGGCCTTATAGCCTGGGTCTCAGTCTTCTCTCAGGCCCCACGTGCCAGCTGTGTAACTTGGGGAAAGTGACTTAACCTGTCTGAGCCTCGGTTTTCTCACCTGGAAAAGCGCTTCTAAGACCCGGCCCGCAGGGTCCCAGGATCTGGTGCGCGATGTTCAGCGCAGAGCCGACCGCTTACTTACGTGAGGCTACAGGAAATCATCATCGCTGACGTTCTCAGCAGGCAAAGCATCGTTCCTGCACTGAACCTGAAGATCAGACAGATAACGTGGCCCCACCCCAAACGACAGCAGTTCTCAGAAGGTCTCTGTGGTGGGTTTAGGCTGCTGAGTGCGTGCGGAGTTGGCGAGCTGACGACTAATCTGTGCCGCGTGGCAATGAAGACAATAAGAGAGGATTCAGCGGGGAGAGATCTGCTGACCCTTGGTGTCGTGGGCCTGCACCCGTCGCTCTCCTCCTTAAGATACAGGAAGTGAAGGGACTCGGTGTTCTACAAAACCACACTGGGCACTACGGTTTGAAATTCAGTCGTTTCCTTACCTCAGCTGTTAGATATAAAACAGGAAGTAATGGTCAGTGAAAGGGTGACTAAAACGACAGGAAAATGAATGAACTTTAAGAACGGATCTCAGGTTTCTGAGGTCTTCCTTGACTATTTACTTGGAGACCCCTAAGAAACGCTGATTTGACCCAGGCAAATGCTTGCTGTATTTCTCCCCGGCGAACACAAGGTACATGTCACGGCCTTATCCAGCAGCACCGTAATGGGCAAAGTGACAGCTTTGACCAAGCCCAGCTGCGGAGGATTAAGTGAGGCCGGGCAGCGCTCAGATTCCAGGCCGTCCCTCGGGGGGCAGAAAAGCGCGGCCCGATGGCATCCGCAGCTGCCCTGTGGTCGTCACGGAAGCCCCGGCCCCGCGGTGTCAGCTGGTCCAGCCCTCACGCTGCTCAGACCCCACAGGGGCCGCACCTGCCGACGGGGCTGAGCCCGGGGCCCCTCTGGGGCGGGCCCAGCGGACAGCAGTCCCGGGGGACACAGCGCAGTCGCCCTGTTGGCAGATGCCGGGCAGCCTGCTCTTGCGAAGTGAACTGTGGCCCCCAGACTAGGGAGCCCAGAGGCCCCAGTGGTCAGTGTCCTGCCCCAGAGGCTGCCTCAGGCGCTGCAGGGTGTGACTCGTGTCCCCCCAGGGTCAGCAGACAGGCAGCTCTGGGCACCCAGGGACACTGCGTCAGGCCACGCTGGAGCGCCATCCAGGGGCCAAGTTCCTGTAGTAGGGGGTCGGTAAATGGGGTCCGGCTGCAAGACAGCGCCAAGAGCAGCTCGCTCTTCGTACCTCGGTTTTCTGTTACTTCGTAAACGCAGCTGCTGGCGGTGAACTTCCTCTTGAAAGCAGGGTGGACGCGGGATGCAGCGACACGCTCAGTTCGGCCTCGGGGCCAGGCCGCAAAGATGATAGCCCAGCAGCTGTTACTATATAGCTTAGCCTTTAATTTGCTAAAATTAAAACGAAAGAAATGAGTCAAAAAGTAAGTTGTACATAGGATTAAATTTGGGGTATGCTGAAGAAAACTGCAAGGAAAATTCATGAAAACTTTTATGGGATATTTTTAAGGAAATATCCTATTTTAGGTATATACACACAAGCCCGTTTTTGAATGTCAGGATGTAAAACATTGGTTGGTTATTCAAGTGTGAACGTATATTTACACAAAGTGCTACCCAATTCCAAGATACGTGTCAGCTGCTGTGATCTGTGGTCTGTTTCATGCACATCTCTCCCCAGTAATCTAGTTGACATGAGAGTGCGGGATTGCTAATCAAAGGTGAACGTTTGCTCCTACCTGAGTTAGCGAAGTTTCAATGGAGTGGCTTCCAGGTTAACAGTGGACATGTATCATCTATTCATGGATGGTTCCTGTTCACTTTGCCCACTTCAAACTACACAAACTTGACCATTTCCGGTTCACAGTAGAAGGCACTAAAGGCTGAGCTTGGTCAGAATCCTTTAAGAATTCTCATAATCATTTATGAAAATTGTCCTAGAGGACTTTGATAAAGGGCCCCCGCAAAAAAATCACGTAAGTATGGCCCCTGACCTCTTAAGAACTTGAAAACAATGAGCTTCCTTTTTACCTTCAAACCTCAAGACAGCTGTGACTTTGTCGGTGGGACTGGAGCTGAGGAGGACTGAGGTCGTATAGAACCAGGGGATCCAGTTCTTTTTTTTTTTTTTAATTAATTTATTTATTTAATTTATTTTTGGCTGCGTTGGATCTTCATTGCTGTGCACAGGATTTCTCTAGTTGCAGTGAGCGGGGGCTACTCTTCGTTGCAGTGCGTGGGCTTCTCATTGCAGTGGCTTCTCTTGTTGCGGAGCACGGGCTCTAGGCGCGCGGGCTTCAGTAGTTGTGGCTCATGGGCTGTAGAGTGCAGGCTCAGTAGTTGTGGTTTGTGGGCTCTAGAGCGCAGGCTCAGTAGTTGTGGTGCATGGGCTCAGCAGTTGTGGCTCGTGGGCTCTAGAGCGCAGGCTCAACGGTTGTGGTGCACAGGCTTCGTTGCTCCTTGGCATGTGGTATCTTCCTGGACCAGGGCTCGAACCCGTGTCCCCTGCATTGGCAGGCAGATTCTTAACCACTGCACCACCAGGGAAGCCCCAGTTATTATTTTTGGTTGCTAACACGTGTGGGTACCATAGCCACCTGCATCCTCCCTGGGTTGACCCCACCTGGGGCCACCCGGGCATCTGAGTCGAGAACTTAGTCTCCGGATGCCCCATGGTCGCTGCCACTCGGGCCTCTGCTCGCGCACCTCCTCGGAAAGGTCTTCCCCCACCAGGCACTCGCAGCAGCCCTCCCCCGCTCCGTGTCACATCCCGTCTTTTCCTCACGGCGCCTCCCACCCTCCGGAGCTGCCTTGCTCAGCGCCATAGCCCAGTATCCTGAAGAGTCCCTGGCACACAGTAGGTGCTCAGTAAGTATCTGCTGAATGAAGAAATGAGAGAAATCTGGAGAGAGATCTGTTCCTAAAGGTTGCAGTTTGGGGTCTGAAATACCATCTGAAACGACCACTTGCCCAGAGAACCTTCCGTGACTGCCTTTCAGTGGGGTCTGTGTTCTGTGTTCTGCTGACAGGTATCCAGTGCCTGCGAGGTCCCAGACAGTGAGGAGAACCAGCCCTTAATCCTGGCTACAGCCCTGGCGGCCGATAGCATTTAAATCCCAGATTATTTTGTGAAAGCCATAGGTCAGCAATTTCTCTCTCCCCTTTCTGACACAACTTGGAGACTTCAAAGTGGTTTTTTTTACTAGAATAGTCTTAGCAGACTACATTTTCCCTTCGTGCTTAAGGCTGGCCCAGCAGTCGTTTGCAGTGTCTTTTCTCCCCCAGCTAACCTTCTGCCAAAGGATGGTGTCATGTGGAAAATGCGTCTGTCTTCGGGAGCCCTTGACCCTGCTCTGGCGTCCCCACTTTTCTCTGTCACGCACTTGGATGGTCTGCCACCTCCCTCAGGATGACAGGTGTTTGCTTAGGGTATCAGGAGGGCCCTGGAGATCATTTTTCTCCAGTTTGGAGGCTCAGGATCCGTTAGCTAGAAGAAAGGCGGTTTCTCTCTCCTCCGAAGCCATGACCGACGTTCCCCCAGCTGTGAATGACTTTTCTCCCCAGCGCTGCGCCTTCACTGTTCGTCCTCACAGGGCCTGGAGGCCTGAGCTGGCACTGGCTCTCCTTGGGCTTTTTCTGCTGCTCACCCCGCGCTCTGCTCTTGTGTGTGTCCACAGTGGGAAGTCGGCAGAAGGGCGAGCACCCAGTCAGGGTGGCCGGCAAAGAGAAGCGCGTCTACTTCTTCTGGCAAGGCCGGCAGTCGACTGTGAGTGAGAAGGGCACATCGGCTCTGATGACGGTGCAGCTGGACGAGGAAAGGGGAGCCCAGGTAAGTCCTGGAGGCAGATGCGCCGGAAATGAGGGAGCTGGCCTTTCCGGGAGCCGGAGGGTGTGTGGCCTGGTCCCCTAAACACGAAGACAGTATCATCCGAAGCCCCTTTAGTCCTGGTCTGGCTTCTCCAGATGTCAGGGTCTGCCTCATCTTTCATCTCGCCACCCCCTCACCAGGAAGGCAGACCTCTCGCAATATGACCTTAAAGTACACCTGCAAATAGTAAATCCACAAAACAAGTGCAGAGAGCCCATGGGTGGTTTTTTTTTAAGTTTCCACTGGACTGATCAAGGAACTAAAACAAAGAGATGCCATTTTCCGCGCCTCAAATGGCAGAGATTTTTAAAAGACTAGATCCAGGGCTGGCAGGGATTCAGTAGGACGGGTACCCGTGCCTGCTTCCACTGAGAAGTGTGAACTGCCATCCCGAAAGCAACCATGGCTTAGGAACCTTAAGATGCTCATACCCTTTGATCAGTGATTCCACGTACACAAACCCACCCTAAGGAGATATCAGGGACTGATGTAAAGTGTCTGCCCAGCATCTGCGTTCCTCACAGCAGCCTGAGTGATTTTTCTAGGACACATCAGATGGTGCCCCTCCTTGTCCTTCATCACACTCGGACTACCATCCGAGGGTCTCCCGGGGGTCAGCCCTGCACCCCCCTCCAACCTCCCTCTTCTTGCACCTGGTCAGGCTACTCCCACCTCCTTGCAGTTCCTAGACACACCGCTTTCCGCCCCCCCACCCCAGGGCCTTTGCACTGATTCCCCGGCCTGGAACACTCCCCCTGAAACCTTACACGATTCGGGTTTCTGTTTGAATGTCGCCTCCATGTTTTATCCACATCTCTCCCCATTTTCCTGTCCTTCTCTGTCCCTTTGCTCTGCTTTATTTTTTCATAGCACCTACCCCTACGTAAAACAACATTCATTTTGTTTACTTATTTATTCTTTGTCTTCCCCGTGAGCATGAAAGAGACTATGTCTGTCCTGGTCTTACCCACCGTTATAACCCCAGGGCCTGCATGACGCCTGGCAGGTACCACTACCCCAAGTCAAGGTTTTGAAAGCATTTCTTTTTAATGTTTTGTCCCTTCCTTTATTACCAGTAATTAAGAGTTAACTCTGGGGTTTTGGGGACCATAACACCCTGTGCAGATCCTTTTACTATCTTGGATGAATAGTTAAAACTAACATCAGGAAGGAGAGCAGAGGAATTTTCTCCAGAAATAGATCCACACTCATTCAGCCTTCCAGGTTCCTAAGAACCAGTCCTCTTCCCTAGAAAGTGTTTAATGCAGATGTTCTACTATGGACTATATTTTCCAAGTAGCTTTCAGGGACAAACAGTTGTTTCATAGTGGATCATTTCAGCTGTTTTTTTTTTTTTTCTCGTAAAGGCTGTGAACGAATATGTTTTATCATGCCTTCAAAATCATCCTTAGAGTTTTGAGTCTTAATCTAATTGGAGCATTTAATTTTTTTATCAATCCAACGGATGGAAAAATCACTGCAGAAATAGAAAACACTGCCACAGAACGGCTCTTAATGACACAGAGGGGCCCTGAGATTGATAAGTTAACTCATGGTGAGAAATGTGTCCTACCTTTCAACGTTCCCCGACTGCCAGGCTCAGTAAACATTTCCTTGTTTAAGGGGATACACCTTGGCAAAGTGAGAGTCAGTTGACTCAGCCCTACGTACGTTCCTGTTACTCTGCTGCGTCTCACGCTGATGCGTAACTGTTGTGCTGACAGAGGCGCCGCTGAGTGACAGGCCCTGTGAGTGGACCAGAGCCTGCAAGAGACAGTTCTTTTCCCCGGAATCATTAAGTCAGGGATTAGTCATTCTCACTGCTGAGAGATTTTCTTTATTAAAAACATGTTTAAGTTAATCACGTTATATCCGTACCATGGAACACTACCATTAAAATATCAAAATTCATGTTAAGAATCTTATGTGACGACAGAAAAACGTCAGCTGAAGAAAATCCAGGGATAAAGCAACATAAAAAACAGCGATCCTATTTGGGAAAAATGTATACCTGAAAAATACTTTGCATTATAGGAAAGCTACACGCCAGAATTGTAGTAGTGTTCTCCATAAATCACAGTGTTATCAGTGGCTTTTATTTGTACTTCTCAGTATCTTTCAGATTTTCGACAACAGGCATGTGTTATTTTTATGACTCTGCAAAACCAGGACACGTGACTCACTGTAATGTGTTTAAATCGGAAGGTCCAGGTCCTGCAGGGCAAGGAGCCCCCCTGTTTTCTGCAGTGTTTCCAGGGAGGGATGGTGGTCCACTCCGGGAGACGGGAGGAGGAAGAAGACAACGCACAGAGTGAGTCACTTTTGCTGCTGGAATTCGACTCTGTTCTCCTCTCCGGGAAGGTATTTTATAGGCGTGGGCTTTAGAGTAACTCTCTCTTCATGTAGCTGCGGCCTGACCAGCGAAGGCCTCCTGATGTCTGCCTTATAAATCAGCTTCCTGGGTGCCTCCCTCCCCCTTCCTTCCATGGAGTTGCCTTCAGAAAGCAGCTTTGCATAAAGGAGGCCGCAAGATGACTCGACCTTAAACTGGATCCTGGAGGGGGAAAAAAAACTAGTGATCTTCTCTTCTAAATTATGAGATTTTTGTTGACCAGCATCCAAAAAACAAAAAAGAAATCATAGTTTCAGAGCCTCTTAAAAAAATATGCCTGTTATGACTTACCTGGATCTTTATAAATTATGTAAAACTGGTTTTTCTGCATCGTGCGCTCTGGGCAGCCTGCTTCTAACTATAACGCCAACAAAATTGGCTTCCTGGGACTCAGTAAGACCGCAGCCTGGCCTCGCCTCCACCTGCCCCTCCAGACAGAGAAAGGAGGCGGGGCGTGGGCTGCCCTGCAGGCTCCCCTCCCCTCCAGGCCCCCTCCCTGCGCCGCCACGTCCTGACTGTGCCACTGGTGCCCCCTGCAGGCGAGTGGAGGCTGTACTGTGTGCGCGGAGAAGTGCCCGTGGAAGGGAACTTGCTGGAGGTGGCCTGTCACTGCAGCAGCCTGAGGTCCAGGACGTCCATGGTCGTCCTCAACGTCCACAAAGCCCTCATCTACCTGTGGCACGGATGCAAAGCCCAGGCCCACACGAAGGAGGTCGGAAGGACTGCGGCCAATAAAATCAAGGAACAGTGAGTGCTGTGTGTGTGAGCACCTCTCCCGAGGGCTTCCCGGGTGCAGGCTAAGGACCCTGAGGTCCCCGTGGACGCCCCGTGTGCCCAGAGCGACTCAGCGTGGGAAGCTGAGCCCCACGTGGTCAGGGGCCCTGAAGGTCCACGTTCATGTGGCACGTGTCCAGCCCAAACCTCTCCCCCGTGAGGGCCTCCCCGCTTCCTGAGGACTTACCTGGCCTCCGTGAAAGGCACAGGACCCCCAGCAGCGTCTCTGAAGGTGTGATTTGGCTTTTGAATTGTCAACCTGGAGTCCTTGTCTATGTAAAGAGAGCAGATTTCAAATATCATTTAGGGGAGCAGAGCTGGTTGTATCGGAGCAGTGGAAGGTTGAAGGGCATTTAGCCGAAGACAGTTAGGAGACCACCCACTGTGTCAGACTGAGGAATGCCCCCTCCTTCGGGGACAAGTGTGTTTCCCAGCGTCCGAGGCAGCTGCCCTTTCCCAGACAGGCACCCACAGGTGCCCACGACCCAGAGACAGCACAGCGTGACAGCGCTAGGTGAGGACCCACCCTGGGGAGGGGAAGGCGGGGAGAGCCCAGAAGCAGCTGTGCCGCCCGCCACCTGCCCAGGTGCCTCTGTGCATCCCGGGCAGCCAAAGAGCCCAGTGCCCCCTCGAGCTGAGACCTGGGGGGACCTTGTGACACCCGTACAGTGGAGAGGAAGAGTCTCCCGGGGCCACATCCCACCAGGTGCCACCTGGTAAATTCATTCTCTGGGCACCAAAGTGGTGTGGTCAGGGTCGGCTCCCCCTCACGGCGCACACGTGACCCAGCGCACGTGGAGGGCGGGGGACCTTCCGGCTGGTGGACAGCTGTGAAGCGGGATGCTTCATCTCCCGACATCACGCTGAGGGCCAGCAAGCTAGATGATAGACAGGGTTCAGCCAGGTCTCACATGGCACTGAGGCCCATCAGGTTCGCCCCTGGACCCCTGAGAAAAAACAAAATGAATAACAAACCCTCATGAGCCGCCGCCTGAAGTCACGCGCAGATCTAGGGACCAGGGCCGTGCGAGGCGACACACCCAACCCCGGGCCGAGGAACGGGAAGTGTGCACGTGCAAAACACTGACTGTTTTCATCACGGCTTCTCTGTAATCCGACGTTCCTCTCTAAGGGCCAAGCCGACCCCTCCCTGCTGCACACACTCAGGTGCCACAGAGCGTGTTTTTATTCATTACGAGAATTGTTCTAGTTAGAAAGTAGGAGCGAGCTGGTGAACCGACCCGCGGATTTAGCAGGGATCTGATTTTGTGCCGCCCTCACTTCTGGGCCTGACACAAACTCTCGGACTCTCTGTGCAGATGTCCCCTGGAGGCCGGGCTGCACAGTAGCAGCAAAGTGACAATTCACGAGTGTGACGAAGGGTCGGAGCCCCTGGGATTCTGGGACGCTCTGGGGAGGAGAGACCGGAAGGCCTACGACTGCATGCTCCAAGGTAACCCCCGGCGCCCCGGCTCACTCAGTGCGCGCTTACGCACACGTGTTCTGTACAGCACACCGGGAGCTACACCCAGGCCGACTCCTCTGGGGCCAACAAGGAGGCTAAAGAATGCTTATGACTGATCATGATGCCAAGGAAAAGCTGTGTGTGTCAGAAAAGAGGTACAGGTGACAGAGGTGGAGAGTTAAAAAGAAAGATTTCTTCCTCCAGGAAGAAATCACACAGGGCTCCATGGAAGACAGCACTTACCGGAGCCGTGGAGGTGTAGGTGTGGCTTGGAGAGAACTGAAGGAGGGGGGAGAATTCCAGGAAGCGAGCTGAGCACAGCCTGAAGCTCTGGAACAAGACGCTTTCGGTGCAGCCGGTATCTGGGGTGCAGGGAAATAGTGGGGTTTAAGTGAGCGAGTGGGTCGGTCTTGTGTTTAAATACACAAGATACAGGTCGACCTACGTGCAGAATAACGTCAGAAAAAAGCTAACAATTACTAAGCCGTTAGGGCGAGCCAGGCCCTGTCTAAACACCTGCTGGATGTTCCCTCACTCAGTGCTCACAGCCCAACAAGCTGCCCTGGTCACCGATGGGGAAACTGAGGCCTGGGGTGGTTAACCAGCTTGCCCAGGTTGGATAACAGTGGGATGTCCTCATGACCACACCACCGTACTGCCTCTCAGCTTTTACAAACTTTTACCTAGGTTTTTAAAGTACAGTTGACCCTTGAACAACATGGGGGTTAAGGGCCAACCTCGCATGCACGCACACACACACACAGTCGAAAATCCACATGGAACTTGTAACTCCCACCAAACCTCTCTACTCACAGCCCACTGGTGACCAAGAACCTTACCGAGAACACAAAGAGTTAACACACAGTTTGTAGGTTATATGTATTAAATACTGTAATCCTTACCATAAAGTACGCTGGAGAAAAGAAGATGTTATTAAGACAATCATAAGAGAAATTACATTTACTGTATCGTATTTATCGATACCGTAAATTTACATCATCTGTTTACGAAATGAATCATTTGTCAGTACCTACATCAATATTCTCTTAGATGATACAAAACACTATAGATGTTATATGTATTACTAACATTAGACATCAAAAGTGAAAAGATATACATATGTTCCCATATCTCTTCCCTCTATGTATATAACTGATTCACTTTGTTATAAAGCAGAAACTAACACACCATTGTAAAGCAATTATACTCCAATAAAGATGTTAAACAAAAAAAAAAGATAACGTGAAAAAGAAATTCCTATATACAGGTATAACGAAGAAGCAGCAATATGATTACTTTACAGTCAGCTAGTGTCATGATACAATTGCTTCACAGCAGCCCAGCCTCTACACTAATGAACAGTTATAAAATTTTTATGGCATATGGTGTTACAGTCCTATTCATAATAAAGTATTGGAAACATTGTTACATTTTTATAAAAATCACTCACCCGTGATGATAGGCTGATACACAGCTTCCCCAATTAGAGAGAGGCATACTGTACGGTAATGTAATTCTCTGAGAGCGAAGCTATAAAACAGTAAGAAAACTAACACGTTTTATTTCAACTATCACCTCATGCCTATGTAAGGACAGGCTAGTATCTACATATATTTGACGCATTCACGACATACCTACATTTTCTTACTTTTTTCAATATTTCTAGGCTATTCGGTCTGTCTGCAGGTTTTTTTCAGTGTCACAAATCTCCAAAAAATTTTTCCAATATATTTGTTGAAAAATCTCCATGTATTAAGTGGACCTGTGTGTGCAGTTCAAACCTGTGTTGTTCAGGGGTTAACTGTACTGCATATTGATGACGGGAAATGTCTGAAAGTACAAAGAAATTAAGAAAGAAAATAAGATCCTTATAATGACATCTTTCAAAAGATGTGAACCAGAATTAACATTTCTTTATGCAATAAATACTTATTTTTTAAAATAAAATTTGGATAGCATTCTTTATACACACTGTTTTGCAACCTGCTTTTTCCCCTTAATTTATTATAAACAATTTCCCAAATCCTATTTTAATATTTAGACTTTTAATGGCTGCAGGGTATTTCATGAGTATATCTGCGACTCTCTACTTAGCCTGTGTCCTATAGTTGGAGAGCTGAGTTCTTTCCAGTTTTCCTCTAACGATAATAAAGTTACAAATAATTTTCAAAAGAATCATCTGCATTCATTTCTAGTTAAGGTAAATTCCTAGACATGGATCTCCTTTGCTGAAGTTAGTATAAAAGCCTTACAGTTACAGATCAGCAAATGTCCCCAGAACACTGGCACCAAATTCCACTCTCACCAGCAATTTACAGACGTGTACGTTTCACAGCACAATCATACAGTTTATTACTTTTTCCTGTTTGCCAAGATTGATGGTAGAAATTACTATCTAAACACTGTTATAACCTAATGTTTTAAATTAGAATGTTAAATGCTTTCTACGTGTATTTTTTAGCCATTTGTACTTCCGTTTAGGTGAATGTTTTCTTTGTGCCTTCACATTTTTTAGATATGTATTGTTTCATTATTATCTTCCTTTATAGACTACTAAGGATATTAACAGGTTTCCATATTTCCCATTTTGTCACTTGCCTTTTAGTTTTCTTTGGTTGGGGGTGCTTTTTGTATAATGTAATTTTTCATTTTTATGTTGTTAATGCATAAATCTCTTCTCCTTGAATTATACTTCTTTCGTAATTATGATTAAAAAGGCCTTCCCCACCTCCAAGCTCAGATAAACCTCACCTCTTTTTACACTTTACAATGCTTTGATCATTTCACGTCTAACAAACATTAATTCTTCAATCCACCTGGAATTTACTTTGGTGCATACTTTGTCTTTAGCTTTTGTTCTCTTTTCTTTCAAAGATCCTGGAAATTTTAACTTCACACCCCGCCTGTTCATCCTCAGTAGCTCCTCTGGCGACTTCTCAGCCACCGAGTTCATGTATCCAGCCCGAGACCCCTCTGTGGTCAATTCTATGCCCTTCCTGCAGGAAGACCTGTACAGCGCCCCGCAACCAGGTATGGCCCACAGAAGGGGGTAGTCGTGCTGAGCCAGCAGAAGGCACGCCTTCCAAAAGGCTTTTTACTTTTGCATCTAGTAAGCAGTTTTTAATTTGCCAAGTACACTTAATATTATCTCACTTAATCTTTATATTATCTCATTTAATCCTCACACCTCCCCCGCAAAGGAAGTTGACATCAATCACATATTATAGTGTAAAAAACTGACCCTCAGTTACTCAACTCACCCAAATTCGTCAGTTAAGAGTAGGTTGAGTGCAGCTGTGCCAGGCATGAGTCTCTGCTGTTCTCTCAGCCTTCCCTCCAGCTTGCTGCTTCATGGTCTCCATGTGGCTGCCCCTGCTCCAGCCATCATGTTTCTGTTCAAAACAGAAGGAAGAGTAGAGAAAAGGGCAATAATGATGGCCATGTCTCTCTCTTACCAGATAAAGCAAAAGCTTTCCCAGAAGCCCCCAGCAGACTTCCGTTTACACCCCCCTGGCCAGAGCTCTGTCCCATGGCCACCCCCCAGCTGCAAGGGAACCTTGCAAGAGTCCAAGGAGCAGGGGGTTGGGAGTATCTGTGGAGTGAGCCAAAGAGCAGTGTCTGCCATGCTGCACAGCAGGGCCAAGGCCCGTGTCTTCTGATTCCAAGGTCAGGGCTGTATCCACGTGACTGCCACCTCGAGGCAGAAGCTGTGCGCTCTTGTTGTGGGACAGTCACAGTCACCAGAGACCAGGCGGTAGAGACAGTTGAGGCTGAGGTTGGCCGCCCTGGCCTCACGGCATCTCTGCTCTCATATTACAAGAGCCTGGAGCGGCACCAGGAACTTCCCGGACCCTGGCAGCCCCGGTCACCACCTTAAAACCTCGACGGTGCACGCGGTCACAGGGTCATACTGGGGAACTATCAGCCAGTGTCTGAAAAGGGGCTGCTACCCACCTCTCCGTCCTGCAGCTCAGGTGGGGCAGCCTCCGCTGGGCTTTTCAGGCATGTGATTATCACAGAATTCTGAGATGCAGCCTAGGAAAGGACTCAGGCGAGCTGGGCTGGCGGGTGTGAGAGCCCTTGACCACGTGGAAGAGTCAGGCTGAGGGTCTGCTGAAGGGAAAAGGGAGCAACACTTGATTTCCAAAGCCCATTCCTCCCTGAAAGAACCATGGACTTAGATGGCCTGCAAAGCAGTCCTACGTGGGGCATGACCACTGATGACCCGAGGGCCAGCGTGATGTCATCTGTCCCACTCTTCTCAACCGGCCAGGACCCAGAGGGCGGCTGCAGGAGGGGCCAAGGGGGAAGGAATGGGGGGAGAGGGAGGAAAGAGCCCCCCTCATCCACGCCATCTCTCTGCCTCGAGGCATCGCCTGCTTCACCGTTTAAAGGGCCAAGACAGCAGGGGCACCCTCCCTGTGGCCCCGAGTTTACCTGCCAAGCGGATTCTCGCACTGACCGAGGCGGCAGGGAGGGAGGCGTCGGTTCGGTGTGGGGCAGAGCCCCTGATGAGACGTCTGCTCTGCTCCGCCCTCGCAGCACTTTTCCTTGTTGACAATCACCACGAGGTGTACCTCTGGCAGGGCTGGTGGCCCGTGGAGAACAAGATCACCGGCTCCGCCCGCATCCGCTGGGCCTCGGACCGGAAGAGCGCCATGGAGACGGTGCTGCAGTACTGCCGAGGTGAGGCCGCGGCGGCGGGGGGCCCCGGATACACGCTTCCCTTTCCACGGGTGCCAGCAGCCTGGACAAAGCCGGCAGACAGCCCTGAAGCCGACTGCTTTCCCTTGAGCTCTTTTGAGGCTTGTTACTTTTGAGATTAGTACATTCTCAGCTGCCACCATGAATGAGATTTCATTTTTCTCTCTTTTTTAAATTGAAGTAGAGTTGATGTGGAATATTGTATGTTACAGGTATACAATATAGATTCACAATGTTTAAAGGCTGTGCTCCATTTATAGTTATTATAGAATAGTGGCCTATACTCCCCGTGTTGTACAATATACCCTGGTGGCAGATTTTATACCTAATAGTTTGTACCTTTTAACCCACTCCCCCTATATGCCCCCCCCTTCAACAAACTAGTGAATATCATTTTTCTCTTTTATATTATGAGGCCGACTAACCTGTCACCCTCGAGGTTAACGGCTGAGTTGTGGGATGCCTGGCCTGGTTAAAACCCTTCTGCACTGAGGATCGATCATGCTGGGGGACACCAGGCCCCATCCGCACACTGTCCACACGCAGTGTCAGCCCCGTCGGAGAGCAGAGAGCACCCCCAAGCGGGCTGGAAGGCCAATGGCAACCTTTCTGTCATCTGTTACTCTGTTTAGTGTTACCTAAAAAGAAAGATCTGTAGTCAATTCATGGCTTTTCTACTATACCATCCACCTGGAACGTCTGGTCTTTTATATAAAACGAAGATGCCAGTGATTAATTTCTTACCTGAATTTTTAAGATATCATTGATTAGTATTACTGAATATATACAGCTGATTTTCTCTTGGAAAGCTCTTTCGTAAAAAATAACTTAATAAACTTCCCACCAAATGTTTAAGCTAAAGTAGCTTCTAAAATGCTGCCATTAGCTGGTAATTCACACCGAACTCAAGGCTGGGTTAGGCAATCAGAGGAATACTTCACAGGTGAGTCCAGGAGGGACGGTCCCACCCAGACGCCACAGAGAGAGGCGTGCTCTTCTCCCATCCAGGGACCCAGAAGTGTTCTGTTGGGTTCAGGAAGTTCAAAGTCAGGTCGATCCCATGCAATTTCATGCACAGTCACATGCATGAAATTAACATTTTTTGTAAACATCATGGCGGGGAGGGGCTACAAACTCATAACTTCCATTTTAACCCTTAAGAGATGCAAGCAGGGAAAAAATTACAGGGGATAAGCCAGGGTCATCGGGGCCACGCTGGGTCTGTGACATCTGCCTTCTGTATGACTGCAGGAAAAAACCTCAAGAAGCCGCCCCCCAAGTCTTACCTCATCCATGCCGGTCTGGAGCCCCTGACCTTCACCAACATGTTTCCCAGCTGGGAGCACAGAGAAGACATTGCAGAAATCACAGAAATGGTGAGCACGCCCCTTCCCTGTCCAGGGGGCCCCCTGCCTTTCGGACTGTGGGAGGACCTCACCTGGGAGGAGCAGCCAATTGCATTTCACGTGGGAACACATTTCCTTGGTCACAACACGTTCACCAGTCTCCGCAGAATCAGCTCAGGAAGAGGAAGGGCCTGAGGAGAAGTCAGTGGAAATGTTTTGGTAATCTGCACACGGCTTAGTTCAAACACTTGAACGCAAAGGTGAATTTAATTCATTTGGAGCAGCGGTCCCTTCCTCCTGTTAGCTAAGGATCCGCTGCTTCTCCAAGTCCACATAAGGCACCGCAAAAGCGCCCCGGGCCTCAGACCCTAACCTTGGGTCAGAGGGGACGCGAAAGAAGCCCGTGGGGGAAGTCCCTGCTCGGCTGCGTCAGGGAGTGGAGGTGGTGAGCCCGTCCTGAGGGGTACACGGCTCATTATGAGCCAGAGCAGTACCCTTTCCAACTGCACCGAAAAGAGGAAGCTTACTGCCGCTATGTAGAATTTCTCAGTGTCTGAGCTTCGAACGCTGCTTGCAGTAGCAATCCCAAGGGCGTTTTTGGTGTCGTGGGAGACAGGTTTGTTCCGTTCAGGCTTTCTCACTGTGTAGGAGGAGGGCCACTTCCCTGGCAGAGATGACGTGGAGGGGTATTTGATAGGAGGTCTGGATAAGTTTAAACAAACAGCAAATGTGTGCCGCTTCTCGACCACGGAGAGGGCCTGCTTCATCTCTGCTGGTGACCCTAAGCTCACTCCCTGGAGCCCCGTGGACTTGACCTTCACAGATGGGGGCTCAGGCCGCCTGGGAGCCGACAGGCATGGCAAGGTGGCTCTATCCGTGATGAACGTGTGACCCTGGACACCTCAGAGCTCTAGGGGTTACGAGCCCCGTTGCTGCGGTCCAAGTTCAATTACATGAATCACTGCCATTGTCCCGTGTGCCCTGCAGACCCCCGGGGGCTGGCCGGGGGGCTCTGGGGAGTCCTGTACAGCCTGCAGGCCATCGGCCAGTCTGCCGTCGGGCAAGTCGTGATGAGAATTCACTAAGGGCCGCTCTATGCCAGGCACTGCTCCGAACACCGCACTTAGCTTCGCCTTTAATTTTCACAACAGTCCACTAAGATCTAGCTGCTGCTTATCCCATTTCACCGGCGAACTAGCCGAGGCATGGACACTCGGAGAAGCTCGCCCCGATCTCTGACGCGTTCCCTCCGCCACTCGCCCCCGATCCCTGGTCTGTGTGCAGCTGAATTCACATCATTCCCCACACACACGTCCACCCAAAGGAGGTAGCCCACTGGCGGGGTCCCAAGTTTAACAGAGGAAGATCGTTCACCCGGAATAACCTGTTCAGATGAAATGCACACAGTGGTTTAAAAGCAAGAGACCTCAGTTCAGCCCCAGCTTATTCTAGATGCATTTTCTTACCTCCTTTTTCTATTGAGGATGAAGAGATGGGGTCTGAGGGGGTGGAGGGGGGTAATTCCTTTTAAGGTTAACTGTTTTTAAATATTTGTAAACAAGTTCCATTATTTGCATGCTTCCAGCGTTTCAACTTCACATTTAATCATCTTCTGGATAATTCACTCGTGTGATAGTCCCTAAACTTTTTCCTGATGTATCTGAAATGCCGTGCAGGGTGAGATGGCATCTCAGAGCCTCATCTCCCTGAGCAGAGTCTCCAGGCTGCGGTGCGGATGGGCCAGGGGGGCATATTTTCAGGCACATGATGAAACGTGTTCAGATGTGGGACACGGAGGTCCCCCTCTCTGCCCCCTCCTCTTCTCCAGGACACGGAAGTTTCAAATCAGATCACCCTGGTGGAGGATGTCTTAGCCAAGCTGTGCAAAACCATCTACCCGCTGGCCGACCTCCTAGCCAGGCCCCTGCCCGAGGGCGTGGACCCTCTGAAGCTGCAGATTTACCTCACCGACGAGGATTTCGAGGTAAGCGCTTCTTCAGGTGGGACAGCATTTGAACACAGCATGCGTGGCTTGTCGGAGGTTCCTTTCACTCGGGGCGTTTCTTTCCCTCCTTCCAGTTTGCACTAGACATGACCCGAGACGAATACAACGCACTGCCTGCCTGGAAGCAGGTGAACCTGAAGAAAGCAAAAGGTCTGTTCTGAGTCATGAGATGCTGGAGGAACCTCTGTTGTCACCTTCAATACTGTTGGACCAGGAAAATGGATGTGTTTTGTTTTTGGAAGCGGGGTATGGCTAGTCCTTTAAAAAATATTTTTACATCTGCGTTTTCGAAACCTGAAGCCATCAGCTCTCCTGCTTGTTTGGGAGTTGTGTATTTTGTAAATGTTCCAGAAAACTCTCTGGAAACACACCTTCCACGATTGAGCAGACGATGTTTATAAGGCATCCGCATCTCCACGCGCGCTCACGCAGGGGGTCCTCAGCGAAGGCCACGGCACTGCCCTCCTGGTCCTGCTAAGCGCTGCCTGTTATTATTATTACTTTTTAAGCGGTTCCCTTTATAAATTGTTATTTTGATAGTTTGTGGATTCTAAATATATATATATTTATATAAACACCGTATAAATCAAATATGTATTTAACAAAGCAATATGTATTCATTCACTTTTAAGGGGTTTCTTTTTTTGGTGTCAAAATAATATTAAAAGGTAGTTGCTTCTGTTGAATTAGTTCTGCCACCAACGCACACCTTCACCCACGTTCAGAGGCGCCTCCTTCAGCATTAAGTCGGACTCGTTCTGAGTGCTGCTTCCGGTGCTAAGATGAACAAAGAATTTATACTTCGAGGCACAGGCTCTTAAGAATCTGTGCAAATCCACCTTTCTACCTTAACATCGCCCCGAATGTATAGTGCCTTGTATTATGTACAGTTTATATACAGAAAAGTTTGCTCTGCATTTTTTGACGATGGTTTGGAACATCATCTACAATTTTACGCTGAAATGGTAGAAATTTTAAAAAGAATCTATCTCAATTTCTAATACCTGTTGTAAAAAATTAAATGTGTCATTCGGCGATGGAAGACTCCAAAATAAAAGCTTCAGAATAAACACGACTATGAATTGCTTAGTTCACACTGAGTTCCTTTCTGAAAAATATTTTTTTGTAAATGTTAACCTGGTACCAATATGCCACGATGCAGTACTAACTGCCGTAACTTTTAACTGAGCTCAGGGCAAGATGTAATACGAGGCCACGAGGCTAAACAGACAGACAGGTATTCGGCCCGTAAAGTAAGCTGTGAGCCCTGTGCCGGAGAACGTACTTTGCAAGTCATCGTTCAGCAGAAGCCCTTTACCCTCAACTGTAGCTGCATCTCAAATTCAAGAGCTCAGTGCCTTTTTAAAAACATTGCAGACATAAGGCATTTAGAAAGCGTTCAAAACTCCTCACCAGGGCTTCCCTGGGGGCGCAGTGGTTGAGAGTCCGCCTGCCGATGCAGGGGACGCGGGTTCGTGCCCCGGTCCGGGAAGATCCCACGTGCCGTGGAGCGGCTGGGCCCGTGAGCCATGGCCGCTGAGCCTGCGCGTCCGGAGCCTGTGCTCCGCAACGGGAGAGGCCACAGCAGTGAGAGGCCCGCGTACCGCAAAAAAAAAAAGAAAACTCCTCACCAGCTCTTACGTTCTTAAACTCCTAGGTCCAAGGGAAAAAAATTTGAAAAAGAAACTAACAACATTGTAAAGCAACTACACCCCAATAAAAAGAAAAAGAATATATATAACTGACTCACTTTGCTGTACCCCTGAAACTAACACAACACTGTAAATCAACTGTACTTCAGTCAGTCAGTCAAACCCCAAATCCCTGGTTTTGAACAAAGACCACAGAGCCCGCTGTGAGTTACCACCACCCGCCTTGGTCTTAGTTCACACGTCGATCACAGAATTTCCTTAAACTCCGTCGCTGACTCACGAGCGCCACCCCCTCCATGCCCCAGGGCTGTGCCGGGTCAGGGGTCTCGACCTGCTCTGGCCCTACCACTTGATGACTGTGTGACATTGGGCAGGCACGGAACTGTCCCACCTCGATCTCTTTTTAAGGAAAAGAAATCAATCCTATAACTGCCCACCTCCCAGGATTGATTCTTGGCGAGGAGGGCTAGATCCCCACTGCTACCAATGTTACCGTCATGGCAGTGGACTTAGGAAAGCAAGAGAGTTGACGTTAAGGAACACAGTCACGCACCTAGAAATGACAGGTTCGAGCCAAGCAAGTGGAACCTTCCAAAGAAAGAATGTAGAAGAAAAAGTAGAGAGAGGGGTTCAGACTGTGTGTCCCATGGGTAGTAGGCAAAGAGGAGCAGAGGGGGGCACACAGAGCCAGGAGGACAACCAGTGAGTGTCAGAGAGGCAGGGCTGCCTGCGTCGTGACCGTCCAAGTCACCTGGATCCTTAGATGCACAGAAAGTAACCAGGGCTGTGATGAGAACTTCCGGAGGACAGCCTGCTGTAGGTGTGATGGATAACACAGAGTCATCGGCAATACCCATTACCCCAAACTGTCCCAAATGCTTTAAAACCGCGTACATCCACTGGTACTAAACACTGTCCCCCAGCGCTGTGCTCTGCCTCTCGCCTCTTCTCTGTAAACAGGGAACCCTGTCTTGCATTTCATAATTACTTCTCGCCTCTTTTCTTGAGCTGTTCCCAGCTCTCTCTCTGGCCTGCGGGACTAGATCCTCTCGTATGTGGCTTTGTGATCCTTTTCCCTTCGTAGCAGGACATCACCTTTGCATCCTGGGAAAGGACCCCACCTGAACACATGACATGCTAAATCTCAACAACTCAACCACCTGGGCTGCACCCCTTCTCCGGTGCCACTCCAAGGCAAACCATCTGGGCCTCTCACTGTTGTGGCCTCTCCCGCTCCCTCTCCAGAGCCTCAGGACACACGTGACATCTTGTCTCCACCCAGATATCCGTTCCCCTCTTTAAAAGTCCTTGAGTTCAAAAGCAGCAAATGAAGAAAACACCAACTGTTTTTAATAAACATTCCCGCAGAAATACAAGCAGGTTCGAGAGGACAGGAGCCATTGCCCCAATATGTCCTTCTCGGGCTGTGCCCGGGTCAGGGTCAGGGTCAAAGACTGCGCAGGAGCCCACTTCATTCTCTCCTTATTTTAGAACTTCAGCCCCACTTGTGGCAGAGCTCCCATTCTGGTAAAAGGAGACGCACTCCAGAAACAGCTTGAGAATCCGTTCTGGCCCTTCGCTTTTGTTCTTCTTGCCTTCTGATTATAAAAGTAACACCGTCTGGGCTTCCCTGGTGGCGCAGTGGTTGCGAGTCCGCCTGCCGATGCAGGGGACACGGGTTCGTGCCCCAGTCCGGGAAGATCCCACGTGCCGCGGAGCGGCTGGGCCCGTGAGCCATGGCCGCTGAGTCTGCGCGTCCGGAGCCTGTGCTCCGCAACGGGAGAGGCCACAACGGTGAGAGGCCCGCATATTGCAAAAAAAAAAAAAAAAAAAAGTAACACTGTCTACACAGAGACTTGTAGTACACAAATGTTCACGGCAGCATCACTGATAATAACCCAAACCTGTAAACAGCCCACCTGTCCATTTGCTGAGAAACAGATAAAACAAAACGTGGTACATCCACACAATGAAATACTATCCAACAGCAAAGTGAACAAAGCACTGATCCACACGGCAACATGCATGGACTCAGAAACATCGTCATTCAAGGACTGGGAGCTGGGGATTAGGAGACGCAAACTATTATATACAGGATGGATAAACAACAAGGTCCAACTGTATAGCACAGGGAACTATATTCAATATCCTGAGATAAACCATCATGGAAAAGAAAATGAAAAAATATATGTGTAACTGAATCATTTTGCTGTACAGCATAAATGAACAAAACAAAAAGACAACTCAGAATACGAGAAAATAGTTGCAAATGAAGTGACCAACAGGGGATTAATCTCCAAGATACACAGATAGCTCATACAGCTCTATGTCAAAAAAATAACCAAGTCAGAAAATGGGCAGGAGATCTAAATAGACATTTCTCCAAAGAAGACATACAGATGGCCAAAAAGCATATGAAAAGATGCTCAACATCACTAATTATCAGAGAAATGCAAATCAAAACTACACTGAAGTATCACCTCAGACCGGTCAGAATGGCCATCATCAAAAAGTCTACAAACAAATGCTGGAGAGGCTGTGGAGAAAAGGGAACCCTCTTGCACTGCTGGTGGGAATGCTAACTGATAAAGTCACTATGGAGAACAGTATGGAGGTTCCTTAAAAAACTAAAAATAGACCTACCATATGATCCCACAATCCCACTCCTGGGCAGATATCTGGAGAAAATCATAATTTGAAAAGATGCCTGCACCCCTACGTTCATAGCAGCACTATTTACAATAGCCAAGACATGGAAGCAACCTAAATGTCCATCGACAGAGAAATGGATAAAGAAGATGTGGCACATATATACAATGGAATACTACTCAGCCATAAAAAAGAACAAAACAATGCCATTTGCAGCAACCTGGATGGACCTAGAGATTATCATACTAAATGAAATAAGTCATAGAAAGACAAATATATGATATCACTCATATGTGGAATCTAATTTTTAAAAAAATGATACAAATGAACTTATTTACAAGACAGAAACAGACTTAGAGATATTGAAAACTTAGGGTTACCAAAGGGAAAAATGGGGGGAAGGGATAGGATAAATCAGGAGCTTGGGATTAACATACACACACCACTACTATATATAGGATAGATAATCAACAAGGACCTACTGCGTAGCACGGGGAACTCTACTCAGTATTCTGTGATAACCCATATGGGAAAAGAATCTGAAAAGGAATGAATATATGTATATGTATAACTGAATCGCTTTGCTGTACACCTGAAACTAACACAACATTGTAAATCGACCACACTCCATAACATTTAAATAAATAAATGGGGGGGAAAGAAACGTCATTCAATGAAAGAAGACGGACACAAAAGGCCACATATTGTTCAATTCCATTTATATGGAATTTCCTGAAAAGGCAAACCCATTCAGACAGATGAGTGGCGGCTCGAGATGGAGACGGGAGTGAAGGGGACTGGGGATGAGCCCCAGGGAACTTTTCTGGGGGGCGGGGCTGACGGAAACAGTCTAGAGCTGGATTCTGGTCATGGTGGCACAACTCTGCAGAAGCACTAGAAGGTACTGGGCCGTGCACTCCCGTAGGTGTGTTTTACCGCATATGATGTCATGCCACGAGGGTGCTGCTTCAGAAAAATAGGAACACTGATCTACGTGGAAAATGTCAGCATTGTAAGGATATATAATTTAGGGATGGAAAATCACAGCTATTCTTGCTGTTAAAGAAACAATCACTCATGACACTGGTCAAGACAGTAAGGCAGGAACTTCCCTGGTGGTCTGGTGGTTAGGACTCAGCGCTTCCACTGCAGGAGGCCTGGGTTCAGTCTCTGGTTGGGGAACTAAGATCCCACAAGCTGTGAGCTGTGCCCCCCGCCGCCCCCCCAAAAAAAGACAGTACGGCAGACGTTACTCACAACAATCATGATAGGTGTAGGGGCCACTGCTGAAGGGGAGAGAGACTGGGCTCAACTCCAGATACAGAAGGAAGAGTGGGGATTTATAGTGAAGAAGCAGAGGTGGGGTGTGGGCATCGGTGGATACCACTAGGAGGAAACGTCAGGGTAAGGGGGGGTCTGGCCATATCAACCTAAGACGACTCTCGCTGAGTGCAGGTCAGGGTGACCAGACACCGCCTCGGGGGATGGTGGAGACACCCGATCAGATAACGAGGGTGATCAAGACATCAAGGGTGAGGATCTTGCTACATGTGGGCCTGTCCTGGAGGCCATGCCCGAGGCCAGGCTCAGAGTAGCCTGAGTCCAGCTTGGCCAAAGACAGTGTCTTCATCACCACTTCCCATATACAAGTACTTCAGTGGTTTGATTTACAGTCTTCCAGATTCTTCTTTACATCAACTAACATAGAGACGTGTGCTCACGTCTGGGGTTTTTCCAAGGGAAAACCTGCATTTGCTCTTTGGCGTGTTCATCTCCCATCAGCAGTAGCGCTC